GTGTGCCTCTTCCACGTGAGGTCCAGAGGGTGGCCACATGAGAGCAGGGCCTTTTCTGCAGTGGCCCCCTGCTTGTGGAATGCTCTCCCCAGGGAGATTTGCCCTGCGCCCTCATTATATATTTTAATATTATATATATATATATTCTACATCCTTTTAAATGTGTTTATGGTAAGGAGTGGGTGTTTGTGTTTTGCTGTTTCGTTTTAATTGTTTTCATGTTTTTATCCTGTATTTTACTTTGTGAACAGCCCTGAGATCTCATGACGAAGGGCGGCATATAAATCTGGCAGGCCCCAGAGCGGAGCCCGTGGATGAGCAGGGGGCCACGCTGCTGCCTCCCTGGGGCAGCTCCTCCTGCTCCCTTCCGGAGCCAAGGCCCACACCGCTCTCCTTCCCTAAATGCAAGCGCACCTTGTGGAAACCAACCAGTCGCCAGCAGCGCATGCGATGAAAAGAGTGCCTCTGGGTGGGTGCAGAGAGCCACATGGCCACCAGGCAGGAAGGAGGAACCGCGACCGGGCCATGATCTCCGGGTTCCTAGCCTACCAGGTTGCAGAGGAGGAAGATGAGGAGAGGCTGGTCAAGGAACCTTAGAACCGCAGAGCTGGAAGGGAACCCAAAGGGCATCTAGTCGCCTTTGGCGGAGCCCTCCCCCCCACCCTCCGACAGGCCCCTCTCTTTGTGACGGGGAGCCGGCGGCGGAGGGCGACCCGCCCCGTCCACGACCCGCCCCCCCCCTTCCCTTGTCCAATTTGCCGCTTGATTAGCTCCGCGCCTGTTTCCTGACACTCGCCGCTGTTGGTCTTAATTTCCTTTAAGTAGTGATTAATTACTCTTCCTCTCCCGCGTCCATCTCCTCCCCTCCTGCCACCAAGTATTTGCATATTAATCAAATCTGCCTTTGATGGCCTGACAGGCGAGGAGGAGGGGGGTTAGCGGGAGGTAAAGACGGCCCCTCCCCACCCCTGTCCAAGCGCCCTTCCCCGGGACCGGGACGCACGACTGCCGTCGGGGAGGAACCTGGCGGAGGAGAAAGAAGAACCCCGAGCAGAAGGACGACAGAGAGTTTTTGGCTCCTTCTGTGCTGAGTCCAAAGCTATGGATTTGAGGGACCCCCCCCCCGAAACTGAGCCCCTGGAGGAGGAGGAGCGAAGAGGCTCCCCTCGCTCTTTGCAGGGCAACCCGACGGGGAGCACGGAGAGCCGGGCCAAATGCATCTCCCCGGGCGCGCGGCTGCAACCCATGCCGGGAATTTGGTCTTCTCGCCCCGAGACTCCGGGCCGCCCCCTCGGGGAAGCCGCCGTTGGGACCGGGAGCGGGTCCCGAGGGGCGTACGAGGCCGACTTCGACGGGGCGGGGGCCCTTCCTTCGCTTCCCCCGCCCGGCGCCTCCAGGAGGAGGAGTGGAGGCAAGGCGCGCATTCCCAGAGGCATGCGCTGCGGGGCCTCTGAGCGCATGCAGAGTGCGCGTCCCGCGACTGGCCCGAGAGGAAGGCGCCCCCTGCTGCCCCAGGGAGGAAGCGCCGCCTTCCCAGCGCGCGGAGCCCAGTTGGCCGAGGCTGATGGGAGGTGTCGTCTGATTGATTGATTGATTGATTGATGGCATTCGTATCCCCCCTATTCCTCCGAGGAGCTTAAGGCGGAGGAGGTCGTTCCAAATAGCTGGAAGGCCCCGATCTGACCCAATCGGTGAACTCCAATAAGGCTACATGGGAAGGCGAGGAGGAAGAGGAACGACGGCCGAGGGCTGTCGAAATTCTGTCGGCAAAATCAGCTCCCTCCGCTCCCTAGAAGACACCCCCTCGAGCGCTTCCATCAGAGGATCCAGCGCTGCCCCAAGTGACACAGAACAGCTGTTCCACTTCTGCACTTTGGAACTCCCGGCCTCTTGAAACAGGCAGGCGCCTCTTTCCCACTCCTGCTTCAATCTTAAGTGTTCAGACAAGCCTACCCAAGTGTTTGATTGTTCTCAGCCTATTTTAACTTTTTGAAAGCTTTAAATGACTTGCTAATTTTTCTTTTTGATAATTTTACCCTTTTTGTAGAGTGCTGTTTTTCAAAAAACCCCACACAATTTATGCAGCACATAAATTTCATGGAATAATAATTTAGAAATTAAGGTGAGCTGCGCACCATCCCCAAGAGAGCAGCATGCCTTGGTCTCAGCTGATGGCAGCAGGGAGAAGTCTGTCCCCTGAGAGCACCCAATAGTTCCTGTGAGCTCCGGCCCTCTTGGGCAGTTCCGTGACTGATGTGTGAGTCAGGATCACTGCCCTACCCAGGAGAAAACATGCTCCCCAGCTGCCCCTCTGCTGCCATGCCCCTGGGCACAGGGCAACGCCTCAGGCACCCTCTCCGCCTGCCCCTGGGGGCTAGACAGGAGGCCGCCCTGCCCCACCAGCTGTGCCAGCCTCTCCAAGGCATGCCAGGAATCCAGACGCTCTAAGCGGGGGAGAGGGAGCAGCCCGGTGGCTTCAAAGGGCGCTGGGCTGTTCATATTTCTGCAGCTGCCGGGGATTCCTGCCCTGGGAACGGAAACCCACAAGCACCTGAAACGGAGCCCCATGAAATTGGGGGTGGGAAAAGCAGGAAGAGGCGGAAGTGGCCGCAGCTGCCAGACTCAAGGACAGAGAACTCCCAACTGTGGCAGTGCCCAGCTGGGGGGCAGCAAGCGGCTCCCTAAAACGGGGCAGCTGCGTCGGCTGCTCTTTCAGCACAAGGCTGGCAAGACTCACACTTATGGGTCCCAAAGGGGGAGTGGTGTCTGTCGAGCCAGAGGGGTCCAAAGCAAACCAGTGGCAGCAGGACGGGGTGGGGACCCTCCAGCCGGGGGCAGTTGCCCCTGAGCAAAATACTTCTACTAAAGATGACCCACAAGGGAGAGCAAAGGGCCCAGCACCCTCCTCAGGACCCAGCTTCGTGGCAGGTGCTGCAAGTGAGCCCAGGAAGCTGCCTTAGGCAAAATCTGAGCATCTCACTTGGTCTTGTTTGACTGGCAGCAGGTTTTGGGCAAGGAGTCTCTGCCAAGTCTACCTGGAGATGCCAAGGGATGAACCAGCAACCTGTGATCCTTGCCCTGTGGCACAGGAGTTGGGGCAATGGACGAGGAGGACATGGGAAACATGGGTTCATCCCCCCGCTGCCTTTGGCCTTGAAGCTGCTCACCATGAGCTGCCCTACCTTGCAGGGGGGTTGTGAGACATGCGGCACCTTGAGCTCCTTGGATTACATGGTGGGATATTATACGTTGGAAGCCAGCCTTAGACGCAAGGGCAGGGAGAGGCTCCGTTGGCAGAGGGGGAGGAAGATCTGGGAGAGGAAGCAGTGAGCTGGGGAGAGTAAAGGAAGGGCAGAACTTCAGATAGGAGAGAGCTCCAAGCACAAGACCCTTGAAGCTGATGGGGTCAAAGCAGGAGGAGGAGGGTCAGTGTGGGGACCAGAGAGGCCAGGATTGGGGCGGCAGAGAGAGGAGATCTTGGGGGATGCGGATAAGGAAGCGGCAACAATAGCCCCAGACCATGTTCAGTATGGGGGGAGAAGAGAGTTGAGGGGGGAGGCTTTCCTAAGCATAAGGAAACCCGGCCATGGTCTCTCCAGGAGACCATGGAGACCATGGAGTGGAGGACTCTCCACTGATGGGGAGCAGCCCAGAGAGAGAGGAAAGGTGTGCCGGGGGGGCAGGGTTGGCCTCACACCCCCAGCCGCTCGTGCTCCCTTTGTGGCAAAGCCCTGAATTCATCTGGCTCAGATTCTGGCAGAATGAGCAGCCCTCTCTCACGAGTGCGCCTCTTACGAAAGGAACCGGTCGGCTTTTAATGAGTTTATTGTGAACAGTGTAAAAACCACGTGGCAGGCACAAATCCCTGAACACACTGAGCAGAACCAAAAGGGCAGGGGGAGAAGGCTCCTGCCTTCCAGGCCCCACACACAAGGGGGCGCCCCAAGGCCACCCACCAGCAACACCAGCCCCACACCCTCAGGCAGGGAGACCCACACACAGACAACTTCCTGCCCTCCCCATTCTCACCAGGACCTAGTGCACGGGGTTCAGGGAGGGGCAGGGCTCAAAGGAACAGTAGAAGAAGAGGACTTCAGCCCCACAGAGGCAGTAAAGTTGGGGGGGTGGCTGAAGAGGCAGCTGCCTGCCCTACTGCAGGTGCATCATTCCACACCCGGTGGGGGCAGATACCTGCTTTGGAGAAGGGGGGCTCCCAGGAGCAAAAGGAGGACAGAGACCCCCCCAACCGCCCCAGTCCTCGGCCTCAGTTTCCCTGATCTGCATCTGGTCTCATCAGAAGCCAGAGGGAGGACAGAGGGAGATCAAATGGCCAGTGGCAGCCTTGGAGAAGGCAGAGGCCACAGCTGCCCCACCCAGCAATCCCACGTGCCTGGGGGGCTCCCACAGGCAACTGCGCTTGTGTCCTCCACCACCAGTCCCCCCCCCCGACCCGCAGGAAGGGGGCAGCCCACAGGCCGGTCCCCACATCTTCAGCATCCTCAGCTGCAAGGGGCCCAGCCGGGACGTCGGCTTGCAAGCGCAGCATCTTCTCCGCCGAGGTATTTCACTGAGGGAGGTGGCCGAGGCGGCGGAGCCAGGAGGAGCTCAGGAAGGCGGGGGGGCCCAGAGGAGTCTCCCTGGAGGAAGAGGAGCCGGGAGAGGGGTTGCTGCTTCCTGGAGTGACGCTGCTCCCCCTAGCACCCCTCTTCGCCCTCGCAAGTCCCAGACCTGCCCCTCCATCCATCAGGGGATGGCAGGGCATCCTGCCCATGTTGCCAGCTCTCTTTCTGCACCCCTCCTTCCGTGCCCAAAGCCCCGCAGAGGCCCTGAGGGAGAGGCAGCAGGAAGGCCTCAACATCCACCCGGCTCCCTTACGGCAGCCTAAAACGGCCATCTGCTCTTCATGCCCGCAACAGGCACCTGCCCACCTGCTGCCTACCGCTTCGGAGGCGCCGCCTGCTGCTGCCAGGTGCTTCCGGGTGCCTTGGCAAGGGGAGGAGTGGCGTGCACCGGGTGCTTCAGCTGCAGGACGAGGTGGCAGCCTTTGACTTCCACGCCCTGGGAGGGAAAGACAGAAGGCCCTTTGTGGCTACAGCTGGGGGGGCAGGAGAAAGCAATGCCCCTCCCCTTTAAGGAGGGGGGAACCTCCTCACCTGCAACGCCACATAGGCTTCCTCGGCCGCTTCCCGGCAGGTGTAGTTGACGAAGGCGCAGAACCTTCGCGGGAGGCAGCGGATGGAGTCAATGGGCCCAAACCTGCGGCCCAAGGAGAGTGGGTGTCAGCCAAGCCGGCCGGCCTCCAAGCGAGGGAGGAGTTGGGGTTTTCGGAAGCAAGGCTCCCTTCCCGGTTTGGGTCAGCTGAGGCCCCGGGGAGCCTGGGGAGGGCGGAAGGAGGCGCATACTCACGGCTGGAAGTAGCACAGCAGGACCTCTTGGGTGACGGCGGGCGTCAGGTTCCCCACCCACACGGGAAACCTCTCCCTGGGAGAAGAGCACACCCGTCACCCACAGCCGCCAGGGGGGCCAGGGGACGCGCAGCTTGCCTATGGTTCCCACCGGCTCGCCCTGCTCCCTCCATCCCGACCCACAGCTCGCTTGGAGCTCGCAAATCCAAGGCTTCTGCCCCACCCAAGCCCATCGGGGGCCACTCCCCGTGGAGCCCCCAGGCTCCTCCCCACCTGCTCACTGGCCCATGTGGGACATGGCAGCCAGGAGTAGGCAAGGCCAAGTGCCGCCCAGGCAGGAGGCAGCCGGGACCCAGCCCCTGCCCACCTTCCCGGCCAGCCTGAGCAAGTGGCCAAGGCTGAAGCGGGGAGGGAAACTCCTTCCTGCTCATGTCAGGGCTGGCATTTTTGAAGGACAGAAAGCACTGGTTTAAAGTGTCAAGGTCTTTTCTATTCTATTTGATTCAAGAAGGTTCTGGAACTTTCTCTGTGTGATACAAGCTGGAAGTTTCCATTCTGCCTGGAAGCAAGCAGAAGGTTGCTGATGTTTGGGGTTAGGCCTTCAGAGAAGCCGAGTTATGCTTATGTCTTTCTCCCAAGTTCACACTTCCTAGAATAACAGCCCAGTAGGAGGAGGCTGGCTCTCACTTTCACTTTCCTTCTTGGTTCTCTCTCCTTTGTTTCCTGTGTGGTGATCTGTTCAGAATACAGCATGTTTAAGTGCTAAGTTTTTAGTCTTATTGTAAGTTTAAGTTAAGATTTTTGCTGCAACTATCCCAACCCAGAAGAGTTGGATTCGTGAACTGTTATGCTCATTTGCCTTTAGCAAATAATACTGGACGAAGCTGACTGAGTCGGGTCTGTTTTGGGAACCCTGCATTAATAAAAGTACAGTGGTGCCCCGCAAGACGAAGGCCTCGCAAGACGGAAAAGCCGCTAGACGAAAGGGTTTTCCGTTTTTCGATGCGCTTCGCAGGATGAATTTCCCTATGGGCTTGCTTCGCAAAAAGAAAAAGTCTTGCGAGTCTTGAGATTTTTTTTCGCTTTCCCCCCCCTTTTTCTAAGCCGCTAAGCCGCTAATAGCCTTTTAGCAGCTAAGCCGCTAAGCCTTTAATAGCCGCTAAACCGCTAATAGCGCTAATCCGCTAATATTGTTGCTTCGCAAGACGAAAAAACCGCTAGACGAAAAGACTCGCGGAACAGATTAATTTCGTCTTGCGAGGCACCACTGTTAATAGTAATAATAATAATTTATACCCAGCCCATCTGGCTGGGTTTCCCCAGCCACTCTGGGCAGTTCTCAGCAGAATTAATGATGATGATGATGATGATGATAATAATAATAATAATAGACCGATAAAACATCAGACATTAAAAGCTTCCCTAAACAGGGCTGCCTTCAGATGTCTTCTAAAAGTCAGATAGTTGTTTATTTGCTTGACATCTGATGGGAGGGTGTTCCACAGGGTGGGCGCCACCACCAAGAAGGCCCTCTGCCTGGTTTCCTGCAACCTCGCTTCTTGCAGGGAGGGAACCGCCAAAGGGCCCTTGGAGCTGGACCTCAGTGTATACTGGCTCGAAGCTGCATTGAGTTTAAGTTTTGTTTACTCTGCTAGCTAAGTATTGTGACTTGCTCTGGATCATCACGGAGCAAAACCACAACAGGGCCGCATTGCTTTCAAGGCAACCTTCTGAGGGCCACAAGCTGGCTGTGGATGGGGCCAGAGGCAAAGATGAGGAGAGGGCCAAAGAATTTTTTTGGTAAAGTTCTTTTGATTTCATTTTATAATGCATACAAAAACATCTAGTTTTTAACCTTTGCACACTGGGCTGATTTTGTATGCACTCAGCCACCGCTCTCAGAAGCTGTCTGGATGCTGCAGTCACGAAAAGGGCCTGGAATGCAGGAGAGGCATAAAGGCGCCTGGGCTCACAGTGTCCATGTGGTCAGAGTGCTGGACTGGGACCAGGGAGAGAGCAGGGTTCAAATCCCCACTCAGCCATTGAGCTCCCTGGGGGACCTTGGGGGCCAGACATCCGCTCTCAGCCTCACCTACCACACAGGGCTGTGGTGAGGATAAAATGGGGACGAGAACCAACACCCCCTTGGAGGACAGAAGGTGGGGTGTGTTAGGATATAGTTCCATTCCACCTTAAAAGGGTCAGGCATGACTGTTGGGTATCACATGCCTGTTTACTTCCAGCACTGTCTGCTGGGAACTTCCGCTGTATGTTGCTTTTGCTATACAGTGGTACCTCGGGTTACATACGCTTCAGGTTACAGACTCCGCTAACCCAGAAATAGTGCTTTAGGTTAAGAACTCTGCTTCAGGATAAGAACAGAAATCGTGCTCCGGCGGCGTGGCAGCAGCAGGAGGCCCCATTAGCTAAAGTGGTGCTTCAGGTTAAGAACAGACCTCCGGACCAAATTAAATAGTTAACCCGATGTAACGTAACTAGCGATGGCATGTCTGCGCACGCACACGTCGCTTTTCACCACTTCTGCGCATGCACGTGACGTCATTTTGAGCGTCTGCACATGTGCAAGTGGCAAAACCCGGAAGTAACGCGCTCTGTTACTTCCGGGTTGCCACGGAGCACGCTCATCCCGAAGCACATTCAACTTGAGGTCTGACTGTGCTGCTGTTTTGCTGGGCACGAAGGCAAGCAGACACGTTTTCCTTTGTTCCTGAGCTATGCTGAATAAAATGCTGCTCATTTTGCTTGCACATCTCTCTGCCTGCCTCTTCTACGGTGAGGTGATTTACACTCTCTGCCGACAGAGCGTGCACGGGTCTCAAAACGTATCTGAGGCTCGTGTCGCTGACTGACTGATGCTGTTCCACCGGAGACCGGTGATCGTCCGGAGCCAGCTGGGGGCCTGCCTGATGCCTCCGTCTCCCTGGCAGTATCCCAACAGGGTACAGATGTTTTGGGGAAAGCAGCACGCCCTCGGGTTCGGTGAAAGCCCAGCCTCTCCTCACAACCACAGCCCCCACCCCACCCCCTTGGCCTTACCTGGCTGGGGCCTGCGCAGCTAATGGCAACAGCCCTTTGCCCTGAGAGCTGGTGATGGTGAGAGGTGCCAGGTGCCCTCTGGCCTGGGAGATGCTTCTGACAGGATGCCCACCTGGCTGCTCACCTTGCCACGAAGGAAGCGGGAGGAGAGGAGGGGGGAGGAAGAGAGGAGGAGGAGGGAGCAATGCATTAGGACCAGCAGGCTCAACGCCCCACCCCTCACGCGCCGGGTGCTGCCGGCCCATGGACTGCTTGTGATCCCTGCCCCTGGCGGCTCCCCACAATCGCTGCAGGGTTTCTATCATGTGTGGACTGAAGGAGCTGCCCCACTGAGAGCCCTCTTACCAGTCGGGGGCAAGGAGGATTCTCTGGCATGGACGTTCCACTTGGGAGGGTACTGGCCAAAACCGTTTTCCTGTCCAAAGAAAAATATTGTTTGCTTTATTTGTAAGCTACAGTGTTTGTTTTTTAAAAATGTGGTTTTACTAAAGATTTCTTAGTTTATAAAAATACATTTGTTGTCTCTTTTTTTCAAGTTGTATTTTCTACAGATCGGTTTCATTTGTTGTGAGCTATCAGCGTTACACACGCTACTTACCATGTTTTAATATTTTGATGATTAACAAAATTGAAATACTTTATTGTCACTTGTACAACTTGTATACAGTGAGATTACACAAGCATCCCCTACTCAGCTCTCTTAGTCTTAATTCCCCTCGTTTACTGACGCACACCCACCAAACCCGAAAGTCAGTTGCCCTGTTGTTCTCTTTTCATTCAGCAGCCTAACAGCCCACGGATAGAAGCTGTTCTTTACCCTGTTGGTGCGACTAATCCTGCTTCTATATCTTCTGCCCGAGGGCAGGAGATCAAGAAAGTGCCGCCCAGGGTGTGAATCATCCCTGAGAATTTTCCTCACTCTCCTGAGGCAACCTTCTTCCGCTATTTCATCCAGCGGATTCACGGGACAGCCCATAATATCTTGTGCTGGATTCACCACCCTCTGTAGGCACTTCCTATCAGTTGATGTCAAACCAGCGTCCCACACCGTGAGGCAGTAGGAAAGGACACTTTCTATTGTGGACCGGGAGAAGGAGAGCATCAAATGTTGATTGACATCGTTCTTCCACAATACTCTGAGGAGATGAAGTCTCTGTTGGGTTTTCTTAACCATCTGGGTTGTATTTATTTTCCCAGTAAGGTCTTCACTGAGATAAACTCCTAGGAATTTAAAGGAAGAGACTCTCTCCACACAGCCCTCCCCGATGTACAGCGGGCCAGTTCTCCTTTTTTCCTCCGAAAGTCCAACACCATCTCCTTTGTCTTGCTGATATTATGGTGCAAGTTGTTCCCTAGGCACCATGTAGATAAAATCATAGCATGGCAGAGCTGGAAGGGACCCTGAGTCATCTCATTCAATCCTCTCCAATGTAGGAATCTCTAGCTGAGATTCCTCCAAGAAAGGGGAGTCTACAACTTCCAAGGGAGACCCTTCCACTGTCAAACAGCTCTTACCCTCAGAAAGTTCTTCCTGGTGTCCATAAATCTCCAGTGTCACAATGGGGCCCACGCCAGTAGCAGAACGTGCCTAGCGCTGCTCTCCACCCTACTGAGACCCCCTTCTTTCTCAGGTGGCTTCCTTCGCCCGATCCCCACAGACGCCCTGACCCGTGCAAACTATCCCTGCCGAGCTGCCCTCCTGGATCCTGGCGGCCCCAAGCCAGGCTGCACCCCCGTGCGCCCTCTCCTTAAGGGCATGGAGGACTTGGCCTCCAGCTCAGCTCACCAGCAGAAGCTGAACCCGGCACTTCTCCAGCTGGACAGCGGCGTCTCCACGGAAGCCGTCAAAGTGCAGGAGCTCCTCAAAGGTCCTCACGGCCTCTGCGTAACGCTGGTGGGAGAGAAGAAGCACGGTCGTGATCCTGCCTCACCGGGGAGGCAGGAGGCCACCCTCTCAGCCTTGCCCCACCCGCTTCACCCCTACCTTGAGGCCCATGAGGGCCTTGCCCTTGCGGAAGAGGCCCTTGGGCCAGCCGGGGTGGAGGCTGAGGGCCACTTGGGCGTCGCGCAGAGCCTCTGCGTAGCAGCACAGCCTCTCGTAGCAGAAGGAGCGATTCCCAAAGAACCTGGCAGAAGGGCGAGGGAGAGGGTGAATTCGTGGGCATCCCAGGAAGTTCTCCTTTAAGCAGCGCAGAAACTACGGAACTGGCTCCCGCAGGAGGCAGGGAAAGCCACCAACTTGGGTTGCTTTAACAAGACAAAAGGTTGGAGGAGAACGATCGAGGGCCAGTGGCAACAACAGCTAGGCTCCTCCTCCGCAGACGGAGGCTGCAATGTGGCTGAAAATCAGCTGCTGGAAACCGAAGGAAGGAAGAGTTGCTCTTGGGTGCGAATCCTGCTTCCAGGAAGGGCCTTCCGCAAGCCCTGCTTTGAGACACCTCAGTTTGAACCCAGAACCTTCTGCACACAGAACACCTGTCCTACCACGGAGCTACAGCCTTACCTGGAGTCACGTAGTGGGCGGTCCCAGGGCTCGGGGGCAGCTTTCTACTCAGCCAGCTTAATGGTCCTGGGGAGACTCCAGGGAAGTGGTTCGCCAGATCCTGCCAGATCCCCAGAGGCTCCCACAGACACCCCCCTCCAGCCGTACAGAAGGGCAGAGGACACAGGGGAGGGGGCCTCACCTGTATTCCCGTGGGTTGAGCTTGACGGCTTCTGTGAACAGGAGCACAGCCTCCTGGTAGCCCCCCTGCTTTGCAGTCTCATTGCCGCAATCTTTTAGGGTCATGCAAGAAGCAAGAAGAAAAGACCATCACCGGAATGGAAGGGAGCTTGCTGAGAACCCGGGTCCAAGGCTTTGCCCTCTGAAGGCTAAGCGCTCCCGCTCAGCACCTCTGAAAAGGGTGGCAGGGGGCAGACTGCCAGCACTCCAGGGCAAACACACACCTGCCAGCACCATGCTCTGCTCCACAGGAGTCATCTGGAGCCCAGACTTCGGAACCTGGAAGAAGCAGAAATGGGGTCAGGGGCTCCTGTAATTCTGCTCAAGAGGAAGACTGTAATCAGTGGCCAAAAAACCAAGGCCACGATTCCCCCACCTGCCCTGTTCTGAATCTTCTACAGAACCAGAATTCTAATCAGAAGTGCCCACGAGTGATGAGGATTCCTAATTTGCACAGCTTAGGGGACAGAGAGCAATGGGCTGTGTTCAACTTAAGTTAGAGCAGATCTAATAATAAATAATAATAATAAATTTTTATTTATACCCCGCCCTTCCCAGTTTAAAAACGGGGCTCAGGGCGGCTAACAACCAATTTAAAACACTTAGTTGTAAAAGCAGCATAAAATACAGTATAAAAACATGAATAACAATAAAATTCAAAGTTCAGAAATCAATTTAGGGGAAATCCATCTAATAAGCATTAGATAACCCCCAGGGCTAGCTGGCTGAATTAGTCCCACTTGGGCCAGGGAGGAGCCCAGGGGAGAATTAGCTGTGGGGTCTCAGAGCGGGTGATCTTCATAAAAGGGGAAGGGGAGGGAAGAGAAGGGAAGGGAAGGGGAGGGAAGAGAAGGGAAGGGAAATAAAAGATCAGGCTGAATTCAAATTAAAAGCCAGGCAGAATAGCTCTGTCTTACAGGCCCGGCGGAAGGAGGTTAAATCCTGAAGGGCCCTAGTCTCATGGGACAGAGCATTCCACCAGGATGGAGCCATCACTGAAAAGGCCCTGGCCCTGGTGGAGGATAGTCTGGCTTCCTTAGGGCCCGGGACCTCTAAACTATGGTTATTCATGGACCTTAAGGTCCTCTGCGGGGCAGACCAGGAGAGGCGGTCCGTAAATATGAGGGCCCTAAGCCACAAAGGGCTTTAAAGGTCAAGACCAGCACCTTGAACCTGACCCTATACTCTTCCGGGAGCCAGTGCAATTAATCGACCCAAGTAAGTCAAGTCCATTAGCGTCAATGGAGCAAGCTTGCTTTCTGCTGCTCCAGAGGGCGGGACCCAAACCAATGGATTCAAATGACAATAAAGGAGACCCCAACCAAATGTTGGAAATAACTGCATTGCAGGGGTTTGGACTAGAGGTGGACGACTCTCTTTTGCTGGAGGTTTTCAAACTGCAGTTAGATGGCCACCTGTCAGGGATTCTTTAGTGGAGTTCCTGGCACTGCGGGGGTTGGGCTAGATGACCCTTGGGGATCCCTTCCAAGTCTAGGATTCTATGAAAAACAACCACTCTTAAACCCGTCCTCACCTGCTCCTGCTCTTTCACCTCTGGCTCCTTTCTGTCAGGCTGGGCTGCCTTCTCCTTCCTCGGCAGCGGCAGTGGGGGGGGCTTGGAGCCCACCTTGAGACGAGCTTTCGATACAAAAGTGCTGGTCAGATCAAGCTCCTCCTGCAGGTGAGAGACAGGAAAGAGCAACTCGTGGCCACGTCCTGAATCTCTCAAACACCTTCCCTAAAAAAGAGCACTTCCCCAAAGAGAAGCCCGGTCACAAATGCCTCCTCCCCGCACCAAACAGGACCCACATGGAAAGGCTGCTTCCTGTTCCATGGGGCAGGGATGGGCAGAGCCACAAATGAAAGCAGCCTCTCTCTCTGCCCCCCGACCCTCCATGCGCAGCCTGCGTCAAGCCAAGGCGCAGAACAGGGAGGTGACAGGGAATCGGGCAGAACGCCTTCCCATCAGATGTCAAGGAAATACAGAACTCTTTGACTTTTAGAAGACATCTGAAGGCAGCCCTGTATCTTAATATTTGGTGTTTTAATTATTTTGTTGGGAGCCAACCAGAGAGGCCAGGGCAACCCAGTCAGATGGGCGGCATATAAATAATAAAATTGTAATAATAATAATAATAATAATAATAATATAATTTTATTTATACCCCGCCCTCCCCAGCCAAGACCGGGCTCAGGGCAGGAAAACAAGTTCTGCCCAGCTTCTTCTTTTCAAAGAACGTTGAAAGAAAATAGCTGCTGTTAGAGGTTGAGCCATACTGGGACCACTGCACACAAGGAAAGAAATATTATTCCACCCCCACAATACACCTTGTTTTCTCACGGGGAATTTCCCCCTAAATTGCCTGTCCTGATGCGCAACAAGAAGCGCAGACAAGCCCCAGCTGTGCAGAAGAGAACTTCAGGGACGGCACCAGGTTGCCTGCCCAACTTGAGGGGCTGGGTTGTTCTGCCAGACCCACAGGCTCCCTCTTCCCCTTCGCCCCCCTTGCTGAGCCTGTCTCCCTCCCAGGCCTCCCAGGGGCCAGAGGAGTGTATGGGTCCCACTTGCCTCCGTTTCCTCCTCTGTGCTCCTGCCCGGGGAAGCCATGTTCTCACTGAGGTCCTGGGTGGAGCTCTCCTCTGAATCGGGCCGGGCCGGTCCCAAGGCACTCGGAATGGCAGCCAGGCAGTAAGAACCTTGCACATCGCTGCTGCTGTTCAAATACTCGTCCTGCACAAGGAGAGACGCAGCCTGTGAGGGCAGCAAGGAGCCACCTGCCTCTGGGGCAAAACCAAGGGGTTTTCTGCGGCAGGCCCTACCTGCAGGAGAGCTGGGGCCTCAGTGCAACCCACCTCTGCCAAGGCCAACCCTTTGGACTTTGGAGCTCTATGCTAAATACAAGGCCCTCGCTTGCCAATGAGCTTCACTGACTGTGGCCCATTTTGCCAGCCTGGAAGCAGCAGGAAGGTTCAAGGGGAGGAGAAGGGTTTCTTCCTGAGCCCTCATTGCAGTTTGCCTGCAGGGAGGTTGTGCGACGCTGCAAATCCACTTCAACTGAGCAACCTGAACCTGCCGGCAAGCAACACAGCAACGCTCTGAAAGGGCTGTGCATCCCCTGCGGCAGATGGGCAAACGTGCAGACGCCTACAGTGGCCACTCACTCCCTCAGCTATGCTCTTGGCCATCAGCTCCTGGTCGCGCTTCTCCTGCTTCTTCCGGTCCTTCTGCCTCTGAAAAGAGAAAGCAGCACACGCAATGGGGCAACGGACGGACATCGAGGCACAAGGACAGCCTCTCCCCCAGCAGAGGCCCCACCACCACCACGCGGATCGCACAGAGGCAAGCACCTTCTTCTTCATCCTCTTCTTCTCAGCCTTCTTCTTGAGGCGCTCCTCTTCGGCAACCAACTCTGCAGCATTCCTCGCCGCTTCCTGAGAAAGATCCGGACAGCGAGACCTTTCAGCAGAGTCAAGCAGGTGTGCACAGACACACATCGCTGTCCTTACCTGTCCCAGCATGCGCTGAGGCTCCCCACAAAAAGGCAGGACAGAATTCAAGCATGGGCTTCATGGAAGCAGCCCTGTTTAGGGAAGTTTTTAATGTTCAATACCGTATTGTGTTTTAATATTCAGTTGGGAGCCACCCACAGTGGCTGGGGAAACCCAGCCAGATGGGCAGGGTATAAATAATAATAATTATTATTATATTATTATTTTCAGGAAGCGCTGTCTGGTCTGGCAGGCAGCAAAGATGGAAAGGACAGCAAAGGAAAGGGGATGGACCCCCCCCCCCCAATTCCTTTCAGAGAAGTAAGTCAGCAGCGAAGGGTGAAATCCAGAGAATGAGGCAAGAGCCATGGGGTTGCAGGAAGTCAAGGGAAGAACCAGGCAAGGCTGGAGGAGAGTGAACAGGCCCTGGCGCATGCCTCACCTCAGCTGTGAGCTGCTGCTTCTGGGGCAGAGAAATGCCCAGCAGAGGGCTGTCTTTCTTGCTGCTTGCTGGCAGGGCAAAGGCAGAAGGCTTGCAAAGGAAGGATTTCTTAAAGCCACAGAATGTGGCTGGGCTGGTATTCTGGGCCCTCTCTTCCTCCAGTTCCTCCTCGTCGCTCCCCCAATCATCATCACTGTAGTCATCATTGGCACAAAACCAGCAAGGTCTGTTGTCCACGTCTGAAGAGAGACCACACAGTGAGCGTGAGCTCTTTTGAAGAGAGGGCAGCGGGGAGCAGTAACCCAGCCATGGCCTGGGGGAAATACCCAGCAGGGAAAGGAAAGGGGCACCGTTGCTGAGAAAGAAGCAGGCAGGGCAGGCACACAAAGACATGCCCTCTTGTGCCCTTGTCCAGCCTAGAGCGGCAAGAGCCTAGAGCTAGCCCTGACTTGGTCTCTGCTGTTATGGCCAGGTCTGAAGCCAGGACTTCTGAAATAGGCTTCGCCTTGGCCTCTGGTGAGCTTCTGGGACAAAATGTGGCAGCTGTGGGGCAGTCCCCAAGCACCTGTCTCAGCAGAGCTATCCTGATGCAGAAACATAACAACAGAAGCGAAGCCTGCGGGGTCAGACCAATGGGCTCTCTAGTCCAGCATCCCGCTCTCTGGGGGGCCAACCAGAGGCCCCAATGGGGAGCACAGCAGCAGAAACCTGAGCGCAACGCTTGTGATTCCCAGAAACTGGTGCTCAGGGGCATAGAGCTTCCATGGGCAACCCTGTGCCCCCTCCGTTCATTAAAGCCACCCATGGTTTGCAAGGGGTGTTTGTCATTTGCTTTGATGTGCTCCCTTGACAGTGGCTTCAGGACTCAGAAACTCACACCATCTCTTCCCCCCCCCCCCAAATCTGTGTGTATATCCTAGAATCCGAGAACTGCAGAGTTGGGACTCCCAAGGGTCATCTAGCCCAACCCAGCTGCAGTGCAGGAACCCCTGTATATTCATCTTTTACAGGGTATTGTTTACAGGGGGTTGGGAGAGGTTGTTGCTGTTATTGTTGCATCTTTGGTTTCGGATCTTATGATTTATGTGGAAATTGTTTCCATTTAATCGTGTACTTTTTGATGTGTTTTATTTATCGTTTGTGACGTTTGTGATTGTGTAAACCTTGTCATGTTGTAAGCTGCCTTGAGCATGGTTTCAACTGGCACGTGCGTTGGCGGAAACGGCCCAGGAGACCTGAAGGAGTGTCTCCACCCCCATCGTTCTGCCCGGACACTGAGGTCCAGCTCCGAGGGCCTTCTGGCGGTTCCCTCATTGCGAGAAGTGAGGCTACAGGGAACCAGACAGAGGGCCTTCTCAGTGGTGGCGCCCGCCCTGTGGAACGCCCTCCCAGCAGATGTCAAGGAAATAAACCACTACCTGACTTTTAGAAGACACCTGAAGGCAGCCCTGTTTAGGGAAGTTTTTAATGACTGATGTTTTAATCTTTTGTTAGAAGCCGTCCAGAGTGGCTGGGGAAACCCAGCCAGAAGGGCAGGGAATAAGTAAAGGTAAAGGTACCCCTGACTGTTAGGTCCAGTTGTGGACTGAAGGGAAGCTCTGCTTCTGCACATGACTGTGGCATGATGGGAAGTCTTGCTTCTAAGCTTTTCTCTGCTTCTGTACATACTGCACAACCCGTTCTAAACACCAAGACATTCCCTCTGGAGTGCGTGCTCATCTCGCATTACTGGCCAAGGGAGCCGGCGAACAGCTTCCAGGTCATGTGGCCAGCATGACTAAGCCGCTTCTGGCGAACCGGAGCAGTGCACAGAAATGCCGTTTACCTTCCCGCCGGAGTGGTACCTATTTATCTACCGTATTTTTCGCTCTATAGGACGCACTTTTTCCCCTCCAAAAATGAAGGGGAAATGTGCGTGCATCCTATGGGGCGAATGCAGGCTTTCACTGAAGCCTGGAGAGCGAGAGGGGTCGGTGCGCCCCGACCCCTCTCGCTCTCCAGGCTTCAGGAGAGCCGCAGCGCCAGCCCCACAAGGTTGGGGGACAGAGGGAGGCGGAACGCCGCCATCCCGCTGTCTCCCGAAGTGGTTTGGAGGCTGACGGCGGGGAGACCCCGCCGCCAGCCCCGCAAGCTCCAGGGACAGCTGGGAGACGCAGCGCTTCTTCCTGCTGTCCCCGGACCTGATCTGAAGGCCGGCGGCAGGGAGAAGAGCACTTCTCCCCGCTGCCTGCCCCGCAAGCTCCGGGGACAGCTGGGAGGCGCAGCGCGTCTTCCCGCTGTCCCCGGACCTGGTCTGAAGGCGGACTGCGGGGAGAAGAGCGCTTCTCCCCGCTGCCGGCCCCACAAGCGCCTGGGGAGGAAATAATTTTTTTTTCTTTATTTCCCCCCAAAAAAACTTGATGCGTCCTATGGGCCGGTGTGTCCTATGGGGCGAAAAATACGGTACTTGCACTTTGACATGCTTTCGAACTGCTAGGTTGGCAGGAGCTGGGACCGAGCAACGGGAGCTCACCCCGTTGCGGGGATTGGAACTGCCAACCTTGGCAAGCCCAAGAGGCTCAGTGGTTTAGACCACAGCATATAAGTACTACTGTGGTACCTTGGGATAAGTACTTAATTTATTCTGCAGGTCCTTTCTTAACCTAAAACTGTTCTTAACCACTTTAAAGCACCACTTTAGCTAATGGGGCCTCCTGCTGCTGCTGCCGCGCCGCCGGAGCACAATTTCTGTTCTCATCCTGAAGCAAAGTTCTTAACCCGAGGTACTATTTCTGGGTTAGCGGAGTCTGTAACCTGAAGTGTCTGTAACCTGAGGTACCACTGTACTACTAATAATAAGAATTACAGTGGTACCTCGGGTTACATTTGCTTCCGGTTACAGACTCTGCTAACCCAGAAATAGTGCTTAATAGTACGAATTAAGTACTTAACCCGAGGTACCACTGTATTCAACTATGGGAAGGCAGCATACAAATGAAACGCTGCTGCTAGACGTTTGCATGTGCGCGCCCCCCCCCCCCGCCAGGCCCCGGAGTGGGGCATCTCCCCCCCCCCGCCTCACCTGCGCAAATCAGTCCCGCCTCCGCGTTGGCTTCGTGGAGGAAGAAGGGCATGTGATCGGCCCCCCGCTGCGCCATCACGTGCTGGGGGGAGAAGGGGAGTGAGCGGGGCGGGGGGGGCTCCCCTCCCTCCCTCCCCCTCCCCGCTTCCCGCCCCCGCCAGCCCTGCTCGAGGGGGTCCCGGGCGCCTCCCGGAGCCGGACCTGCGGGGAAGGGGAAAGTGAGAGCCTGGCCCGCCGCCCCCCGCCCGGCCCCCGCCTCGGCCTCCCCGCCGCCTACCAGCCTCCCTCGGGCGACCCAGAGCTTCTTCCGGACGCGCGCGAGGCATCTCGCCGCACCTCCCGCCCGCCCGCCGCCACCGCCCACTTCCTCCCGGAAACGGAAGGCGCGCCCGGAGGAAGTGACGCCTTTCTTCCGGAAGCGGAGGTGCGGACGCCATCTTGGTCGAGGGAAAGTCACCCCGGGCGCCATCTTGGCTGAGGGCAAGCTCACCCGGCTCTTTGCCTTGCCCGGAGGCGGAAGCGGAAAGGAAAGCGAGAGGCTCTGTGATGCTATACGTCAATTATGTATAAATTGTTACGGAAATTACAGGGGGGGGGCACATCTTTAAAGCTAAATGTTACAAATATTATGCCTGAATGTATCCTTCCAACTTGACAGCTCAGGGAAGTCACCTAGCTTTTAAAATAATATAAAATCATCTCCTTTCCCAGTTCCCTCCATTCCAGTGCTATTTTCCCCTTGCAAAAGGACTCCAGGAAGTGCCCAGAGGTGACAATTGCTGGGCTCATTGTTAGCCAAGGGAAGCCAAATCTCATCACCTGACTTGCCAAGGAGTCTAGACATGCCAAGGAACTTCTATTGTACTTTTGGGTGGTGGGTACTTAAGACATATTTGTCTATGCTCATCTTATACCTGAGTCTTGCCCTGACATGTCTGCTTATGCTAATCTGGTACCAAGGACTTGTCTGGACATGTTTCCCAAGGTTAACCCCTCCCCTTCGAACTGTATTCTGGGATGTGGTGGGAAAGTTTTAAAAGTCTTTGTCACCCCATCCTCGGGGTTCAAATTTCCTCTTTGAACCTATTGTACAATAAACTTTGATCTACAGCTATTTGGTTGGTGGTTGGAATCCTTCCGAGCTGAGTGACTGAGCAGCCTCACACCTAGATTTTTCCATAACATAAATTATATGTTCATAAATTTACAAGGCAAACATACATAAGTATATAAACCACGTGTCTGAAATATTCCAGGAGAGCAATCCTGAAGCCATTTTGACTATTCCAGTAACTTGAAATATTCTCCCCATTGTCTCTTTGCTCACAACTCCTGTCCTTAGGGCATATTTGTGTATGAATAGGGTGAGCCTGTGACCTGGAGTCAGGAACTAAGTACAGTGGTACCTCGGGTTAAGTACTTAATTCGTTCCGGAGGTCCATTCTTAACCTGAAACTGTTCTTAACCTGAAGCACCACTTTAGCTAATGGGGCCTCCTGCTGCTGCCGCGCCACCAGAGCACGATTTCTGTTCTCATCCTGAAGCAGAGTTCTTAACCTGAAGCACTATTTCTGGGTTAGCCGAGTCTGTAACCTGAAGCATATGTAAACTGAGGTACCACTGTATTTAGCATCTCAAAAGGAAAGGCCAGTATGCCTAGATGACCATTATCAAGTATCCTGACAGACAGGTTTTCTGCTGTAGACTGCCCCCTGTGATGTACCGTATTTTTCGCCCTATAGGACGCACCGTCCCATAAGGCGCACCTAGGTTTTTTGGGGGGAAAATAAAGGGGGGGAAATTATTTTTTCCCCCCAGCCCCCAGAACAGGCAACTCTCCGCAAGCCGTGGGAGCCCGGTGCTGGGCTCCCGCGCCTTGCGGAGAGCTGCGCGAAGCCTGGAGAGCGAGAGGGGTAGGTGCACACCGACCCCTCTTGCTCTCCAGGCTTCAGCGAAAGCCTGCATTCGCCCCATAGGACGCACACACATTTCCCCTTCATTTTTGGAGGGGAAAAAGTGTGTCCTATAGGGCGAAAAATACGGTATTTCTGCTGGGGACCACCTCCTTCTATGATGTATGTATGATGTTTTGGGGGGTGGTCTTGAGCTAAAAAAAAAGGTAAAAGTTAAAGAACCCCTGACAGTTAAGTCCAGTCGCAGACAACTCGGGTTGCTGCGCTCATCTCACTTTACTGGCCGAAGGAGCCAGCGTTTGTCCACAGGCAAGAGCTGGGACACAGCAGCAGCAGCTCACATTGTGGGGATTCGAACCGCCAACTTTCTGATGGGCAAGCCCAAGGTTCAGTGGTTTAGACCACAGCACCACCCGTGTCCCATTGGTCTTGAGCTACAGGGTGGCAATTTCAAAAGTCTATATAAGAGCTTGCGCACCAATGTTCTGGGTTCCTCCTCCCTCCTTGTGTGGGGTGAGCGGGGGGGGGGACTGTTGCAACCGTTCTGGGCCGTGCATACTTTTGAAATTGCCTCCCCTGTAGCTCAAGACCACCCCCCCAAAACAACATACATACATCACAGGAAGAGGTGGTCCCCAGCAGAAATTTGAGTGTGTTACTTCTCTCCTGTCTGCCAGGATACATGATAATGCCTTAAAGGTAAAGGTAAAGGTAAAGGGACCCCTGACCATTAGGTCCAGTTGCAGACGACTGGGGTTGCAGCGCTCATCTCGCTTTACTGGCCGAGGGAGCCAACGTTTGTCCGCAGACAGTTTTTCTGTGTCATGCGGGCAGCAATACTAAGCCACTTCTGGCAAACCAGAGCAGCACACGGAAACAGCGTTTACCTTCCCGCCGAAGTGGTACCTATTTATCTACTTGCACTTTGATGTGCTTTCAAACTGCTAGGTTGGCAGGAGCAGGGACCGAGCAACGGGAGCTCACCCCATCGTGGGGATTTGAACTGCCGACCTTCTGATCGGCAAGCCAAAGAGGCTCAGTGGTGTAGACCACAGTGCCACCCGCGTCCCGTAATGCCAGTACTTAGTTCCTGAATCTCTTACGCATAGTGATAGTGTGCTCAGCTTAACAGATACCTGCCAAACTGTATTTGCAGAGAGGTGCAAGCCTCTACAATCCGGAGACAATTGGAAAGCTTTTACCATTTCCTTCCTCCTTGCAGAGAAATATTTGAGGTCAATTTGGGAGAGTCAAAATGGCTTCAGGATTGCTCTCCTGTACTGTTTCAGACACTATAATTATGTATGTGTGTTTGCCTTGTATGCATGTGTGTTTGACCTTAGAATTCCTATACTGATCTCCCCTCTGGGGCTATAATTTTAATTAAATTGTTTGCCCCACAAATAATAACCTGGAATGTTGTAAATGGATAAAGGTAAAGGTAAAGGGACCCCTGACCATTAGGTCCAGTTGTGGCCGACTCTGAGGTTGTGGCGCTCGTCTTGCTTTACTGGCCGAGGGAGCCGGCGTACAGCTTCCGGGTCATGTGGCCAGCATGACTAAGCCGCTTCTAGTGAACCAGAGCAGCGCACGGAAACACCGTTTACCTTCCTGCCAGAGCGGTACCTATTTATCTACTTGCACTTTGATGCGCTTTCGAACTGCTAGGTTGGCAGGAGCAGGGACCGAGCAACGGGAGCTCACCCCGTCGCAGGGATTTGAACCGCCAACCTTCTGATTGGCAAGCGCTAGGCTCTGTGGTTTAACCCACAGCGCCACCCGCATCCCTCTTTGTGTAAATCTGAACAGACCTGCACGTCAGGCCTCTTAAGGCTATCCGCAAGTGTAGCTGTGCACATAGCTACAATAAAATAGCACATGTTGCATTCTCTTACGAAATTACTTGTGGCATTTTAGCACTTTGGGAGAAACATTTTCTCAATAGTGTTCTATGATTTTCACTCAGCAGGAAGGTCCAAAAATGATTGTAAAAATGCAGTTTGTTTTGTTTGCCTTTTTGTGCTCTCAGGTGTCAAAGTTGGCCTCCTGGCCCTTGCACGTTCAGCAGAACTGAGAGGTCAAAAAGTTTTAGAAACACACCATGTTAACCAGAACACCTCTATCTTTACACTTTCTGACACTCTCAACGAAAGGTTCATAAGACAGGACTTGCATTTGCAGAAGCCATGCTAGCTCTGCTTCACAGTAGGGCTTGTTCTTCTATCTGCTTGCTTGCTTATTTTATCTTCAGCAATACTTTCTGCCTGTTTTTCCAAGACTGAAATTAAGCTAAGCAGCCTGCAATTTCCCAGGTTCCACCCCATCCCATTTTAAAAACTGGTGTTACATTGGCTACTTTCCAGCCCTTTCATTAGACGATCAGACCTTCAAGATGTTTGGGAACTCTACAGTGGATTCCATCCAGACCCGGCGATTTGCCAGTTTTTATTTTGTCTATGAGACTTTGAGTTTCACCTCTTATCAGTGCTCTCTGCCTCAGTTGTTCAAAGGCAGTTCAGGGACTGGGATCTGCCGCACGATGCCTCTGAACACCAGTTACTGTGGGGAGAGTTGCTGCTGCTGCATCCAGGTCCTGCTTGTGGGCTCCCTTGGGGGCATCTGTTTGAGAAAAGGGTGCTGGACTAGATGAGGCCCCTTTGGCTTGATCCAGCAGCAGCCAGGCTCTGAAACCTGCTTTGGGAAGAGCCAAAAAGAAAGCCTTGCAGTTAGCCAGAACAGAAATGCAAATCGAAAACCACAACCCATTAAACCATGGGGCTAGGTTTCCTGTGTTGCAGGGGGTTGGACTAGATGACCTGTTGGGTCCCTTCCACTTCTCCCATTCTGTGATTCTAGTGGCATTCCAGGGCGGCTGTCCTGGGAAAGGGCCGGGCGGTGGACCTCCTCTCCCCCCTTCCTCCAGGAGTGGACTGAAATCCCTAAGCCAATGAGTGTTGTCCATCCTGGATTAAGGCCACCACCAGCCGGGAAGTCCATAAGCTCATTTCCTTCTTGTCACACTTGTCCCGGCCACCATGGAGGATGAGGAAGAGGATGCCTTGGCCAGGAGCCGCCAGGAGCCCGCCATGGAGGTAAGGCCTGCAGTGGTCCCTGGGAAGCTGGAGGTGGGGGATGCAGAGTTCAGGAGGAAATCTCTCCCTTCAGGGTGGCGGTCCCAGGTGAGAAAGGTGTGGCTGGCAGACCGGGAGGAGTCGGACTCTGCTCTGGCTGCGGGAAGCTGTGATCGCACAGACGGAAGGGAACGTGTTGCGGTAAAGAGAAGGGCAGGATCAGGTCCCAAGCGTGTTTGCGCTCAGAGACTAGCCTCTGTGCCTAGTGATAGCAGTCTGGGCTGCGCATAAACAGAAACCCCGGCAACACATGCAGCTCAGATGCCAAACGGATAAAACAACCGCACAACTTTCCAAAGGTGTTTGACAGCAGCCCTGTGTCGGGAAGTTTTGAATGTTTGACGTCTGCTGTGTTTTTACCATGTTGGAAGCTGCACAGAGCGGCTGGGGCAACCCAGTGAGATGGGCAGGGTGTCAATAATAAAATTATTGTTATGATTAGTTATGGTGGGCTGCGGTTCCTGCGTTGCAGGGGGTTGGTCTAGATGACTCTTTGGGTCTCTTCCAGCACTATGATTCTAAGGACAGAGGGAAAGGCTGGCAGAGGCAGGCAGGCAGGTGAGCCAGAGAGGCACAGGGCGGGGGGGCGGGGAATCAGGCTCTGCAAGGGGCTCTCTTGTACCTTGTTGTACACAAAATCTGCCCTCATCCCTTATGGGGGACACAAGAACCCTTTAGAGAGTCCTTTGTAGGTTCTCCATCGGTAGGAGAAAAGAACAGAGGCCAACCAGAGAATACTGAGAAGCAAAGCAGCTCGTAAGCCCGATCTTTATTGATCTGTTGCAACAGGGTCCTCACAGCCACACGCAGGAAAGGAGGAGGACCCAGAACAAAGGTGTGCAAGCCCTTATATAGACATTTTAAATTGCCTGCCCTGGAGCTCCAGACCACCCCTCCATACATCATACATACATCACAGAAGGGGTGTAACCCAAGACCACCCCCCAGATACATCATACCTACATCACGGAAAAGGTGGTCTACAACAGAAATGTGAAAGTTGTTGTTTTTCCTGTCTGCCAGGTTATCTGATAATGCCTTATCTGATTTCCTTTCCTGGTAGTCTGGCCATTCCTTTGAGATGGTGATTTCCCAATTCCTCACCCTCTCCCTCCTTGCAGGGAAAACATTTGGTCAGTTTGGAGTCAAAATGGTTTCAGGACGGTCTTCCTGTGCTGATCTATGTACGCGCTTGGTTGGTACATTTATGAACATTTATTATATATATAAGACCTTAAATTTTATTATTACAACCTTTAAGCATTATTAAAGGTGGGGTGCTGGTGCTGCTCTTGCTAGGATTTGCACCCCAAGTGCAGACTCACGGACCCCCAGCAAAGCAAAGCAAAACAAAGCAAAGGGGGCGGCGGAGCCCCTCCGGGCCCAAAGGGTGCCAAGGCTGGTTGGAAGTAACTGGCCGGTTTTGGGGGGATCCCTGGGCTTTTCTGTGGGAGCTCACTTCCCCGACTGGAGCAATGTGCTCCAGTCACGGCTGGGACCTGCCTTTCTGGGGATTTGGTGGTTAATGAGGATTATGCACTTCGTGAAGGAAAGAGGCGTAAAACTAGAGGGTTAGAAGCAGAGACACGCAAGGCGGGCAGGGCAGGTCGGGTCCTGACTTAACCCTGTTATAAGATAAAACTGCTCCTTTTCCCTTATGGGGTACCCAAGAGCCTTTTGTAGGTTCTCTATCGGCAGGAGAAAATAACAGAAGCCAACCAGACAATATTGAGAAGCAAATCAGCTCGTAAGCCTGATCTTTATTAAACTGTTGCAACAGGGTGCTCACAGCCACATGCAGGAGGGACCCAGAACAAGGGTGTGCAAGGCCTTATATAGACTTTTAAAATTGCCACCCTGCAGCCCAAGACACCCCCCCCCATACATCATACATACATCACAGAAGAGGCGGTCTACAGCAGAAAACCTGCCTGCCAAGGTACCTGAGAATGATCACTGATTACATTATTTGGGCAGCCTGGCAATTCCTTTGTGATGGTAAATACTCAGTTCCTGAATCCAGGTCACAGGCTCACACAGATACCCCTTAAGACAGGGGTCAGCAACCTTTTTCAGCCATGGGCCAGTCCACCATCCCTCAGATCATGTGGGGGGCCAGACTATATATTTTTAAAAAATGTATTTTTCTTAAATATTTTCTTCATTTACAAGGCCAGACTATATTTTGAAGGAAAAAGAAAAAAAGAACGAATTCCTATGCCCCACAAATAACCCAGAGATGCATTTTAAATAAAAGCATACATTCTACTCATGTAAAAACATGCTAATTCCCAGACCGTCTGCGGGCTGGATTGAGAAGGCAATTGGCACTATGGCTCTCCATAGTGAGGGTGTCAGGATCAGCACCCAGGTCCCAAAGCCCTGGCTGTGCCCTTCCTGGCCACTCTCCTTGGGCCCAGGCCTGGTCTGCCCTTGCAGCCTGTGGAGGCTTCGAAGCAGCTCAAGGGGGTCCCTCTCTTGTGCTCACAACCAGTGCCGGAATTACATATAAGCTAAACAAGCTCTAGCTTAGGGCCCCACTCTCTTGGGGCTCTTGTGATGTAAGTCATGGGCCCCACCTGCTAGCCTGCTCCCTAAAATATCCCTGGTTTGCTCCTTTCTATATATAGGGTGCCGACATTCTGCATAATGTCCATATAGTTAAAGCTATGGTTTTCCCAGTGGTGATGTATGGAGGTGAGAGCTGGACCATAAAGAAGGCTGATCACCCAAGAATGGATGCTTTTGAATTCTGGTGCTGGAGGAGACTCTTGAGAGTCCCATGGACTGCAAGAAGATCAAACCTATTCACTCTGAAGGAAATCAGCCCTGAGTGCTCACTGGAAGGACAGAGCCTGAAGCTGAGGCTCCAAGACTTTGGCCACCTCAGGAGAAGAGAAGACTCCCTGGAAAAGACCCTGATGTTGGGAAAGATGGAGGGCACAAGGAGAAGGGGATGGCAGAGGACGAGATGGTGGGACAGTGTTCTCGAAGGTACCAGCATGAGTCTGACCCAACTGCGGGAGGCAGTGGGAGACAGGAGTGCCTGGTGTGCTCTGGTCCAGGGGGTCAAGGAGAGGCGGATATGACTAAATGATAACAACATTCTGCCTGGACTGGTTGCAGGGCAACATGTGCAAATGGCTTGCGCTACCTATGAGGTCCATCAATTACCATAGAGCATCTATTCAACACAAAAAACAGCAACAATTTGTTGTTGATGAAGGACAGCTGGACATCGAAAGGGCCCCGTTACCTTCAGGAGCTGTCCACAGCGGTCAACGTTTCCCTTTTTTAAAGGGAAATTCCTTTATTCCGAATAGGATTCCTTGCGAGAAAAGGGAAAAGTTGACAGCTATGCCTAAATCCCGCCCTGCTCTCAACAACCCTGTGAGGCAGGCAAGCCTAAGGGAGGCTCAGGGTTTTTTGAACCCGGGCCTCTTCGCTGCTGCTCCACACTCTGCTGCCTCTACATGCTCCCCCCCCCCCGGGAAAGCATGGGGGGAAAGAAGCATCTTCTTGGGACCCGCAGCATCTTCTGGGCATCCCTGTGCCCCCCTCCCGCCTGCCATGGTACAGCCCGTTCCTTCTCGCCCCCCCCGCCCGCTGCCTGGGTGGACCAGGCCTCCCTTTCGCGCTGCGCCTCCTGCAGGCGCCTCGGGGAACTGCAGGGCTCGGGGGCGAGCGGTTCCCTTGCCACGTGACTCCTGCGCGCGCTCCCATTGGCCCGCCGCTCGGTTCCCTCAGGGCCGCTCGGTTGCCCGGCGCCGAGGCAGCGGCTCCAACGGCGGCTTCTCGGAGGGAGGGAGGCAGGCCGGTAGGGAGCGGAAAGGGCCGTGGGGCCGGGCAGGGGGCCGCTCCGGGGGCCGCGGCGACGACGAGAGCCGGCCTGGCCCGTTGAGCTGGCTTGCACGTGCGAATGCAGACAAACTTGCGTGTCGCGGGTCGCGCGCTCCTCTGGGCCTTCGGGGCCCTCGCGCGGGGCGGAGCCTCCTCTGGAGGAGAGAAGCGGGCGCGAGGGGGGCGGCGGCGGCGGCATCAGGGCAGCGCGGGGTTAACCTGCGGAACTCCCCGCCACAGGAGGCAGCAAGAGCCGCCAAGCGAGATGGCTTGGGAAGAGGTTGATGTGGAGCTTCAGACCATATTTTGCGCTCTCCTCTTTCACCCTCATTAAAAGGTTCTTTAATTCCTCCTCACTTTCTGCCATCAAGGTTGTGTCATCTGCATATCTGAGGTTGTTGATATTTCTTCCGGCGATCTTAATTCTGGTTTGGGATTCATCCAGCCCAGCCTTTCACATGATGAATTCTGCATATAAGTTAAATGAGGGTGAAAGAGGAGAGCGCAAAATATGGTCTGAAGCTCAAAAAAACGAAGATCGTGGCCACTGGGCCCATCACCTCCTGGCAAATAGAAGGGGAAGAGTTGGAGGCAGTGAGAGATTTTACTTTCTTGGACTCCATGATCACTGCAGATGGTGACAGCAGCCATGAAATTAAAAGACGCCTGCTTCTTGGGAGAAAAGCAATGACAAACCTAGACAACATCTTAAAAAGCAGAGACATCACCTTGCTGACAAAGGCCCGTATACTTAAAGCTCTGGTTTTCCCAGTAGTGATGTATGGAAGTGAGAGCTGGACCATCAAGAAGGCTGATCACTGAAGAATTGATGCTTTTGAATTCTGGTGCTGGAGGAGACTCTTGAGAGTCCCATGGACTGCAAGAAGATCCAACCTCTCCATTCTGAAGGAAATCAGCCCTGAGTGCTCACTGGAAGGACAGATCCTGAAGCTGAGGCTCCAAGACTTTGGCCACCTCATGAGAAGAGAAGACTCCCTGGAAAAGACCCTGATGTTGGGAAAGGTGGAGGGCACAAGGAGAAGGGGACAAGAGGACGAGGTGGTGGGACAGTGTTCTCCAAGCTACAAACATGAATCTGACCAAACTGTGGGAGGCAGTGGGAGACAGGAGTGCCTGGTGTGCTCTGGTCCAGGGGGTCAAGGAGAGGCGGACACGACTAAGCGACTAAACAACAACAACATATTGCAATGTGAATTGTAATTAGAGATTGACAAAATGTGGATTTTGTTGGGTTTTAGTCATGGAAAATGAATGTAAAAATTAAGGGAAAACAGAAAGAGGACAGGACAAGTACAGTGGAGGCAGCGAGGCTTCTGGATCCCAGTGGCAGGGAGGCGCAGGAGGGAAGAGGGTTGCTCTTTCTTGGGCTTGGATCCTGCGCGCAGGTTTCCCCAAAGGGGCACCTGGAACCCAGAACAGGAGGCTGGACCCCTTTGGCCTCATCCTGCAGGCTTTTCTGAGGTCCTTCTCTGCAGGGCACGGAGCAGAGGGAAGCCTGGGCAGCCACTTGCGGGGGCCCAAGCCTGCAGTAAGTGGGGATTTCTACCCCCCCCCCAAGGCCACTATTCCAGGAGGCTCAGCATCAAGGTGTCTTTAAAAAATAAGCCTGGTTTTGTAAATTATTTCAAGTTCAAGCAGACTGCTTAAAGAAATGAAAGTGGCGTACAACAAACCAGCAATGTAAACTATCAGTGAAGTTTCACAGGCTCTTCCGTTTCACTTCTGTTTCCATGTATCTGAAGAAGTGTGCATGCACACGGAAGCTTATACCAAGAACAAACTTAGGTAGTCTCTAGGGTGCTACTGGACAATTTTTATTATTTTTTATATATATTTCACAGGCAGATTGAGACAGCTACAGTGGTACCTTGGTTCTCAAACGTCTTGGTTCCCAAACACCGAAAACACGGAAGTAAGTGTTCTGGTTTCTGAACGTTTTTCAGAAGCCGAACGTCCGATGCGGCTGCCGGCTACTGTTTCTGGGTGCCTGCACCAATCAGAAGTTGTGCCTTTGTTTCCAAACATTTCGGAAGTCAAACAGACTTTCGGAACTGATTAAGTTTGAGAACCGTGGGAGCACTGTATTTGGCGCTTTTGTTTTTGCTATTCATTTTGTGTTTTTGTTTTTGAGGCTCTTTCGGTTAATTTGTTTTTGTGACTATGTGGAACCCAGTTCAGCTACTATTGATTGTGTGATGGCGGAAATGGCTAAAAGCCCCCAGCCAAACAATGACTATCATCAGTCAAGTAAGAATTATTTTTTAAAAATTTTTATCATCTGTAATACTGTCCTATTCATTTTATAGTACAGTACATTGATTATTGCCTTCATTTTATGGATCAATGGTCTTGTTAGAGAGTAAAATTCATGTTACATTGCTGTTTTAGGGGTTGTTTTTAGAATTCTGGAATGGATTAATCCATTTTGCATTACTTTCTATGGGAAAGCGCACCTTGGTTTTGAAACGCTTTGGTTTTGGAACAGACGTCTGGAACAGATTAAGCTTGAGAACCAGGGTACCACTGTATAGGAACAGAATGAATGATAAAATAGCAAGGACTACGGCCAGGTCACTAATCCAGTGAGGCTTTAACATCCCAGTTTCACAGATGTGCTTGTGGGGTCTGAAGTGGTGGTGACTGGCTGAGACCTTGAGGTTACAGTGGGCAGCTCAGGGAAGATGTTGAGCCAGCGTGTGGCAACCGTGCAAAGGGCAAGTTCCAAGCTAGGCGTCATTAGGAAAGGGATTGCAAATAAAGCTGCCAATACTATAATGTCATTTATACAAATCAGTTGTGCACCCTGTGTGCAATTCTGGCTGTTCTTGAGCTGGGAAAGTTTCAGAAAAGGGCAGCCAAGATCATCAAGGGGTGGAGCGATTTCACTGTGAATAAAGGTTGCGGCATTTTGCAAACGACTACGTGATAACGGTGTATAAAATTATGCACATTTTGGAGAAAGCAGATAGGAGAAGTTTCTCTTTCATCATACTAGAAAGGAGGGCCAGCCAAAGAAACTGAATGTTGGAAGGTTCAAGACAGACTTCTCCACACTGTCCAGAGTTAAAACTCTTCTTCTTTGGCTATCCCTCGTAGCCGAGTAAGATTGTCTTCCATGAACAGGGTCTTTACAGTGAGTCCGTAAGTGACCGTGGAGGCCAATTCTGGATTCACACGTCCTTCCACAGTGGGGACATTGGTTTCTGGGCGGGAGTTGATCACGGTGTTGATTTGCCAAACGTGCCTTTCTTGTAGCTCGTTTCTCCCTTTCGTCCTGAGTTCGAGTATCTTCAAAGCCCGTGACACCTTTGGTCAAGGCTGTTCTTCAGTTGGAGTGCTGGTAGGCAAGTGACGGTGGCTGTCAAGATTATACCTCAACGAAGGCTTCAAGGAAGGAAACCAAGGCGCAAAATGAACACTCAAGCTCCACAAGATCCCATTAAGTGGAATTGCTTCCAAACGACTCTTAAGGACTATCTGCCTTCAGTTGGAATTTGCAACAGCAAGATTGAGTGCTAGCTACCCATTTTGGTAGCCGAGGACAAAGCTGTCAGTGGCCACCAGCCACAATGGGCAGGCTCTGCCTATGCTGGGGGAGGCAGGATGCCTCTGAACCCCCCTTGCTGGGACTGGCAGGAAGGAGCCTCTGTCTTGCCGCTTTGAGAGCAGCTTTCTGCAAAAGATGGGCACCCTTTGGCCTGATCCTGTGGCTGAGCTCTTAAGGGCTGCCCCCACTCTGGAAGATTCCCAGAGCCAAAGTCTGGAAGCAAATGGCAGCCAGTGAAACGCCCCTGTTCTGAAAAGGCCCCTCTAGCTGCCCCTGGCTCAGACTCACCCAGCGTGGCTGGTCCCTGATTCTGGTCCTAGGAAGCATGCAAGGTTTCCAGAGACATTGCCCAGAGTTGCGGGGATCAGGGTGCAGTGAGGCTGCCTCTCTGAAGAGGCAGGGGTGGGTGCAGTTTCAGGGCTGACCCTTCTGTCTTTCCACAGGTGATTGAGGCCGAGGCTGTGGGCTTGAACGCCATCTTCCTGTTCCTCATGTCCCGTGTATCGCAGGCCTCGGGGGGCATCTTGCCACCGCTCAGCTCCCTGGTGGGGCCCAGGAAGGTCTTGCCAGCTGATGGAGGGGAACACCTGGAGGCAGCTGACACAGGTAGGTAGGGGCCTCTGGTTCCTGCCAGAGGCTTCCAGTTGTTTCTTGCTCTGCCCACTGCACACAGCAGAGATGGTGCCCAAAGGAAGCTCCGTTCAGGAGGACTGGAGCGCTCCCAGTCGTGCTTCCCACCCTCGCTTGACTGTAAGGAAAGTGACGGGTGGTTTTGCACTGGAATGTCCTTCTCACAGAAGCACTTCTGGAAAGCGGGGGGTGGGTGGGGTGGGGAGGAACCCGCTGCCTCCCTCCTGCGCTGCCCCCCTCCTGCTTCTGGGAGATCCCTTAATTGCATTTGTCCGTTCTTCCTGCTGCTCGGCTGCTCCAGGCAGGCCAACTTAATCCTCGGAATTAGCAGCCTGCTGCAGGCAGACCAGGTCCCAGCGGGGCAGCAGAGGTGACTGACCTCCTGGCAGACCTTGGCAGGACGGAGGGGAAGGGCATGGCTGTGGCTGCCCAGGTGATGCCAGCCTGCTGAGGCAGCCCCGCCGCAAAGGGTTGGCATCAGACTCCTGTCTCATTGCAGGCTCCAGATCGCTGACGCCGCTGGCCAAGTCCTTCCAGAAGGCGGAGGCTCTCCTGCGCCACTGCGTCAACCCCAGCCTGTGGCGCCTGCTGCCCCCGCGCCCCAGCGAGAGCGCTTACGACAGCGAGGAGGAGGACTCTCCCGGAGGCCTGGCCCGCCTGGCCCAGGTGGAGCGCAGCTTCCTGGGGCTCAGCCGCTGCCTGTGCGTGATGGAGAACCCCCGCACGGAGACCTTCCAGGCCCACGTGCGCCCAGCCCTCCCGGACACGGCCCGGGGCGCCTTCACTTACCACGCGGCCCGGAGCAGCGTGGCTCGCCAGTGCGCCACTCTCCACGCTCTGCTGCAGCACCGCCACCACCTCCGCCTCTCCCGCCACTTCAGCCGCCGCCTCAAGGCAGCTTCGGCCTTCGTGCATCACCTGATGGCCGCCGAACGCTGCCTGCCGCCCCTGCTGCCGCTGGCCGGCCAGCCGGACGCCACCTGGGGCCGCCAGCTGCGGGGGCTGTGCGAGGAGATGCGCACCCACGCCACGCACTGGGAGGGGCTGCAGCGGCGCATCCGCAGCGACCCCTGGCTGCGGCACATGCTGCTGCAGCGCCACGAGGTGGTCCAGCACATGAGGCGGGCCCTCTGCTTGCTGGCCCTGCACGCCGTCTGCCTCCTGGAGCGCCACATTGAGGCCTTGCTGCGCAGCTTGGCCCATGCCCTTCCTGTGCCCGCTGCCCCGCTGTCTGACCTGTTCCAGGGGCTGGAGATCTACAACCAGGTGGTGAACGACCAGGCACTGCAGCAGGCCTTCCTGGAGCAGCCGGCCAGGAAGCCAGGCCTGCAGAGAACAGTGAGCAGCTCCCCAGCCTTCCCCCTGGAGAGGATCTTGGGCATCCTGGCAGCAGAGAGGGGCAAGCGGGCCGCCCAGAGGCTGCACCCGCTGCTCCTCCGAGGGGGGGGTCTGGAGCCTGCGCCTTGGGGTGGGGACGCCAAGCCTGGGCTCCTGGAAAGGGCCCTCCAGGCCTCTCCGGCAGGCGAGGGTCTTCCCAGCCTCTCGGTGGAGCTGCAGGCCTTGTGCCACGAGGAGGAAGAGGGCCTCCTTGTTGTCCTGGGGGAGCTGGTGGCCTCCACGGACAGCCTGTGGCATCATGTCCTGAACCGGCCCAAGCCGGAGAAGCCCCTCGAATGCTTGGAGCCGACCGACCTGCCTCAGGGGCCGGACTCTGCCTCACTGCCCAGCTGGAAGTCTGTGCGTTGGCTGGACACCTCCTTCACAGAGGCGGCTGCAGCGCTCTATGCCCAGTACTGCCCGCTGATGTGGAGAGCGGCTGCCTCTTCCTTGGCCCACCAGCTGGAGCTCCACCCGCCCCTGGCGCACTTCCAACCGGGGGCAGCGGCTGCTTTGGCCCGGCGGCTGAGCCGTGGTCTGGCACAGGGTAAGTCAAACTGCGGAACTCCCTGCCACAGCAGGCAGGGAGGGCCGCCGACTTGGACATCTTTAGAAGAGGATGGGGCAAATTCGTGAAGGAGGATAGGGCTCTCAATGGCTACTTGCCAAGATGGTTGTGTTGTGCCCCCACAGTCGGAGGCAGCAGCGTTTTGAATACCAGTTTCTGAAAAGCACAAGAGGGGAGAGGACTCTTGCCACTCGGCTCCTGTTGTGGGTATCTGGCTGGCCACTGGGGGGGAGGCAGGATCCTGGGCTAGATAGGCCCCCCCCCCCGGCCACATCCAGAAGTCTCTTCAGAGGTTCTTAAGTGAAGGTTCTTGGCTGACGGTGGGGTTGAGACAATGCCAAGGGGACCTGCCGGGATGGCATTCCAGCCCCCTGCCTCCCTTTCTGCCTCCGAGGGGTCTTTGCCTTCCCTACAGCCCACTTCCCATCACTTTCCCCAGGCCTTGATGGTGCCCCTGTGGATTGCGTGAGTCTTGCCCGTGTGTGGTCTGACTCGCCAGCAACTTCCCTGTCCCACAAAAAGGGCTGCGCTGCCAGTTTGGCGGGGGAGGCAGGGACCCGGCGGGGCTCCTGCACTTCTGCTTCCGGGATGCTGGTGCCCTCTCAGCCCCGAAGGGACAGGCAAGGCCCACACCCACCTGGGGCTGCAGTTTTGGAGGTCAAAGGAGAAATGGGCACCTGCAGCCCAAGGGGAAATCTCCCTGACCAGTTCCTTCCTGTGTCTGGTGGAATATGCCCTGTGAGGGGCCGCTTGGATTTTCTTTTCTCAGTCCCTAAACACCTTGGTATGGCCTCTGGGAGACTCCGATTCCATCTCGGGATCCACAGCCCTCTGGAATTGGGCTAGGGGTCCCTGCCTGCCACTCTGGGGGGGAACAGGCAGTCTGGTCCCCGTGGGGCTCATGCTCCCTTGCTCCCTCTGTGTCTCTGCAGCCTGTGTGCCTCGGGAGAGCGCGGAGGAACTGAAGGCCTTGGCGCTCCACCTGCTTACACGGGATGTCCTCCAGTACTGGGACCAAGGTAGGGCAGTCACTGTTGGCAGAGGTGGGGGCTGCGGGACAAGGGCTGAGTGAAGGGCCGGCCTTGGGGCGGGAGATAGAATCACAGAGTTGCAGAGTTGGGAGGGACTCCTGAAGGTCATTTAGCCCAGCCCTCTGCAATGCAGGAATCTGAACTAAAGCATCAGTGACTGATGGCCCCCCAACCTCTGTATGAAAGCCTCCAAGGAAGGAGAGTCTACCCCCTTCTGAGGGAGTCTGTTTCATCTTAGAACAGATGGGATTTTTTGTTTTTTGTTTTGTTTTTTGCAACAAAAATCAATAAATTATAAAATATCAAATAAAATGAAATAAGAGTAGAGTAGAAGGGGGATATCTAGAGCCCAACAGATAGCAACTGATTTCCGTAACCAAGTTGAACATCATAATATCACAAAGTTTCAAGTAACAGAAACGGGTTTGCATTCTCCAGTACCTTATTCCTCCCATATGTTATGAAAAGGCTCCGTCTCTCAATGAAGACATTGGGTTCTCACTGTCTTCGTAAGCTCCATCGTACGTACTGTGCCCAGATTTTAGTTTTCCATTCTCTCTTGGGTGGTGCTCTCATCCCCGCCCCCTTCAATTCTGACAAATAATCACTCTGGCAGTACTTAAGAGATGTTGCACTGATTCCAGATCATCTGTTAGTACAATTTCTGTAACCTACCAAATAGTAGAGTTAGAGGAGCCACGGGTGAAGTTATTACTTCAGCTGGGAGGCAGCTCCTCGGTCCTGTCCCTGTGGAGTGCCTGCTCAGTGACCCCATCCGAACTTGTTCCCTTTCCGTCCCAGGTTTCTGCCAGGCTCTGGGCTCCAGCCTCACCGACAAATGCTTGGGGAAGCCTGCCCAGAGCACAGAGGTGGCTTGCAGCCAGACGGCTCAGCTCCTGCAGAGCCTCTACCTGCCCTTGGCCTTCAGCCTGCAGTGCCTGGACTCCCAGCCCACGGACAGCACAGGTGAGTGGGGGCTGCGCTCTGTGGGGCAGATTGGAGGGACAGCTGGGCCCCGCCTCCCTCCTCCACTGACGCCCTTTCCCCCTTGCAGCCGGCAGCCTTGTCCCATCCGGCCTCCACCTGCGGCTGCTCTCCCTCTCGCTGGCCACCGCTCACTCCTCCTGCTACTGGGTCATGAGCAAGGCTTACCAGTACTTGGCTTCCTGGTCCCTCAACCAGTTCCTCCTTGTGACCCAGGGGGACTTGCAGGCAAGTAGAACCATGAGTGGTGGGCTGGGAGGGGGGGGTTCCTTCCTGAGGTCAGCCAGGCGCTGCAGGAGAGCAAAATGCCAAGGATCCATCCCCAAAGCCGTCCGCTTAGCCCACAGTCCAGCTGTGGGCATCGCCTGTGTCTCTCTTGGCCAGAGAAAGAGCGAAAAGTCCTGGCCAGTGCAGAGAGAGGATTGCGCCAGAACGAGCTCCTCTAAGGCCTCCTGACTCCTTCCTACAGCTGCTGAAGGCAGAGGCCACCAGGATGTCTGCACTGGTGAGCACGGCTTTTCCTGAGGGCAGGAAGCAGCAGAGCCCCCTCCTCTCTGGCCAGGAGCAGGAGCTGAGCCAGCAGATCCACTCCACAGCTTCCAGTGTCCAAGTAAGTGCCGGGGGTCCCAGCCTGCCTTGCCCCACTCTCCTCCCAGCAGCCTCTAGGATCCTCCTGGCTGACCTTGACGCTGGCTTTGAGCTCTGAGGCCTGGAACACAGCAGGCTGGGCCTTCCCCAGCTCCATAGAGAGGCCCTCTGCTTGCCCCCTGGCAGCCCTCCAACCTCCTCAGTGGGGCTTGCGCAGGAGAAATGGCTGGGGGCAACTGGGGGCTTTGTTTCCCACCCGCCCCATGGCCCCTTTCCTCCTCTGTTGCACAGCTGTTTGCGAACCAAGTGCTGACCCTGTTTTCCTTGGACTGCAAGCGCATGTCGGCGGAGATCTTTAGCCAAACCATGCCCCTGGGCAAGCACTGGCGCCTCACCCTCCGAACAGGTAGGCCTGCAGGACACAGAGCAGCGCCCTCCTGGCTACTAGTCTTCCATAGTTCTGCTCCTGCTGCCCTTGTTCGGTTTGTGGGCTCCCCACTGGGTCATCTGGTTGGCCCTGTGGGGTCCAGGAGCTCCTGGCCTAATCAGCAGGCCTTGCTTGGGTCTGATCCTGCAGGCCTTGCCCCCTTAAGTCCTCCCGTTGCCCTTGCAGAGCTGCCGCCCTCCCCCAGCGAATACGCCTTGGCTGCTGCCCAGAGCGTCCTGGGCCAGGTCTTGCTGGGCATCCAGCTCCTGCCTCAAGATGCCCAGGGACCAGCGCTCAGCCAGGTGACGACGGCCTTCTTGGAAGCCTGGATGGACCACATCCTGGCCCAGAAGATCAAGTTCAGGTGAGCATTCGTCCCGGAGGGAGAGGGGACTGGCCCTGCTGCCCCAGGAGGGTGGCAGGCTGGGCTGGGCTGCCCTTTCTCCCCTCTGACAGCCAGCCTTGCCTTCTGCCCCCCCCCCCAGCCTCCAGGGCGCCCTCCAGCTGAAGCAGGACTTTGACCTGGTGCGTGAGCTGCTGCAGTCGGAGGATTATGGTCTGTCTCCAGAGATCAAGCAGCTGGTGCTCTCCCTCCGCGTCTTCCAGCAAGTGGACAACGCCATCGCCTGCCTCCTGCAGCAGCCCCCCAAGACCTCCTTGCCCTCACACACCTGGGATGCCTTCCACAAGTGCTGTGAGTGGGCCTGGGGGGGTCTGGGTGGGGGCGCCCTGGAGGGTCCCTTCCATCAACCCAGGGGGTCTACGGGTGAGGAAGGTGCATCCCTCTCCCATCCATGGCTGGGGGAAACCTCTGCCCCTCAAGGCCAGGGTCAGGAAAGCTGGAAATGGAGCCTCTGCGCTCAGTGGCAGTCTACCTCTGAGCCGCCAGCAGAACTGGTGCGTCTGTAGAGTCCGAGGGAGACCCAGGAGGCCAAATGGCGCCTCAGCTGCCCCCACAGGAGACTGGCTTGTTTGAGAGGGTTGTTTGGAAGTCTTGGGGAACGCAAGCGAGGCACTTTGAGCGCTCTGGAAGGGCGACATCCGTGCCGCCGCAGAAGCCACTGCCGCCACCTCTGTGCCCTGCGCCGACTGGGCCTTGCGTTGGCTGCTGTTGGAAGTGGACTCTGCTCACTCCAATCCCGCCAGAGCTCACTCTCTGACCAGATCCCCTCCACAGAGGACCAGCGGACTTGGGAAGAGATCCGGGTGGGAAGGGGGTTCTGTCCTAAATTGCCCCAGAGACTCGGTCCTGGAGCAGACGGAGAAGTTCCGAAGGAAAGAGTGCCTCTGAGCCTGCAGAGGGGCCTTTTCCTGGCCACTGAGCAGCTGCAGATTGGGACGTTTCAGTAGAGAAGGGCCGTATCTCAGTGGCAAGGAATATCACAGAGGGAGAGTCTCCAGGTGGAGCTGTTGCTGACCAGCAGCTCCTCTCCCTGGCAGGCCCCGTCTCCTTCCTCAGCCGCTCTTCTTCCTCCCCCCCCAGGCTCCCACGACGGGATTCGCACGCAGGACGGCGGCCCAGGCAGCCTGAACAGCCTGGAGAGCCTGGAAGGGCTGCCCACGCAGGCGAGGGCCGTGCTGGAGAGCCAGGCGGGCGACCTGCTGAGCCGCATGCAAGGGGGCGGCTGCAGCCCCGAGACCTACCTCAGCCCCATGCAGCAGGAGTGGCTGGCGCTGCGGCTGCACGGGGGCCGCCGCTGGAAAGTCCCTGCCCTGCCCTGTATGAACAGGACCTCTGAGCCTTGACTGGGCCGGGGCAGGGCAGGCCTGGGAAGGACAAGCCGCCACTTGCACCACGAACTCCTTGGGGCTTCGGCCACACGTGCCTCACGCCCCCCTGCACATTGGCAGCCGTGCCGCGACACTCTCCCCAGGGGGGCTGGTGCACAAGGGAGCTCCGGGGGGGGGAGGGAGGAGCCTCGATTGCCTCCCGCCAGGCCTTGCCTGCTTCCCTGCAGGAACTCTCTGGCCGTAGACATTTTGGCTCATGGGAGAAGCTCCTGCTGGAGGAAGAGAAAGCAGCTGGTTGGGCGGCAGGGTCGGAAATCCCAAAAGGCGCTTCAGCGCTCCCAGGCTGCCCCGTTGCGCTCAGGGTCACACGGAAGCTGGAGAAGCACACGCAATCTCTCAAATCACCTGTTTTCCACATTAAAGACTCCTGACGTTGCAGCCACTCAGCGCTTCTGTTGATTCAGGAATAAATCCGTAAGAATCTGCGTGACCCACTTTCCTCTGCCTCCAGGCGCCTCCCCCTGGGGGGGAAGGGCTAGGCTCTAGCTGGCCCCAGGCTCAGCCCCCAACGGCATCTGCATGGGGGGCGGGGCTCGGAAAGACCCCCTGCATGAATCCCTGGGCAGCTGCTGCCAGTCAGTGCAGGCAGAGCTGAGCTCAGATGGACCAGCGGTCGACCTGGCAGCTTCTTAGCTTTCTTGGCATCCTGATGTTTGGCCGCAAAGTCCCTGGCTTTGCAGAAGTCGGGCTGAGGAGCGAGCGGGAGAACCCCGAGGTCCCTGGGAGTAAAATCCTGTCCCAGAGAGCAGCTCGCTGCTTTCCTGCCTGCCTGCATCATGAGAGCAAATCCCGGCAAGTCACAACATCCGTGCGTTCTGACAAGACCCGCAGGGCAACGAAAGCTGAGCGCGGCCAGGCCCCATCCCTCGCCCCCCCTGCCAAGTTGAAAGTGGCCCAGCGGCCATGCGGCTCCCTCCCTCTAGCCAGGCCTCACCTGGAGTAGGGGGCCCAATGTGGAAAGAGGTCACAGGAGGGTGATGAAGGGGGTCAGTAGTACGGGAAAGGAGGAGGGGGGGCATGTTTAGCTGGGGAGGGGGGCTGCCTATGCAGCAGTGCATTTCAGAAGACAAATGGGCCGTTGGGAGATTCAGGATGGTTGAAAGGACGGACTTCACGCAGCAGCACGTAGTTAAACTGTGGAACTCCCTGCCACAGCATGCCGGGATGGCCACCAACTGGCTGGCATCTTGTCTGTTTCCGGAGACAATGGAGGAGGGGGCCTGGAGGGGGTTGAAGTCCAACGCTAGGAAGGTTGCAGCGCCTGCTGTGGCTGTAGAGACCGATAGGGGAGAGACATGTTTCCTTGCAGCCGGGGCAGAGGAAGGTTGTCTCCAGAGGATCAGGCAAATCCAAGGGGGGGGGGGGCACGGCTGCCGATAGCTACCAGCCAGGAGGGCTGCCCCTGAACGCCTGTTGTGCAGCCGCACTGGGGACAGGCTTCTGGTTGGACGTGGCAGGAATGGGATGCTGGGCGAGGGGGGCCCAAGGCATTTTCAAGGAAAGCTGCCCGGTCCTTTGAGAAAACCTGAAAAGTGCATTAACCTCTGCTATCGATACAACTGAAAAGAAGAGGAAGCAAGCAGGGAAGAGCTGGCTGCAGGATGAGGCCTCCTGTGCAATCCAGCACAGGAGGCAGTTTTAGGATAGCATGATGGCACTGGCACTGCTGGAATTGGAGAGCCCAAAGTCCGCCGGTGCCACCAGCATCATGCCCCCGTTAGTGGCTGTGCAGTTGCCTCCGGAGTGACCCCAAACTGGATCGGGGCCAGTTGAATCCTGACAAGTACTGTTTTGGGGTGACAGGAGTCAGGTGGGTGTGGGGGACTCCCTGGTCCTGAATGGGGTCACTGTGCCCCTGAAGGACCAGGTGCGCAGCCTGGGAGTCATTTTGAACTCACAGCTGTCCATGGAGGTCAATTCTGTGTCCTGGACAGCTGTCTACCAGCTCCATCTGGTACGCAGGATGAGACCCTCCCTGCCTGTGGACTGTCTGGCCAGAGTGGTGCATGGTCTGGTTATCTCCCGCTTGGACTACTGCAATGTGCTCTACGTGGGGCTACCTTTGAAGGTGACCCGGAAACTACAACTAATCCAGAATGTGGCAGCTAGACTGGTGACTGGGAGTGGCTGCCAAGACCACATAACACCTGTCTTGAAAGACCTAAACTGGCTCCCGTTCGTTTCTGAGCACAATTCAGAGTGTTGGTGTTGACCTTTAAAGCCCTAAATGACCTCGGTCCAGTATAGCTGAAGGAGCGTCTCCACCCTCATTGTTCAGCCCGGACACTGAGGTCCAGCTCCGAGGGCCTTCTGGCGGTTCCCTCCTTGCAAGAAGCGAGGTTACATGGAACCAGGCAGAGGGCCTTCTTGGTGGTGGCACCTGTCCTGTGGAACACCCTCCCACCAGATGTCAAAGAGATAAACAACTATCTGATGTTTAGAAGACATCTGAAGGCAGCCCTCTTTAGGGAAGCTTTTAATGTATTACAGTATTTTTATATATATTTTTGGAAGCCGCCCAGAGTGGCTGGGGAAGCCCAGCCAGATGGCCGGGTTCTTCTTCTTCTTCTTCTTCTTCTCCTCCTTCTTCTCCTTCTCCTTCTCCTTCTCCTTCTCCTTCTTCTTCCCTTTTCCTGCTGTCCCTGACATTAAAAGGTCCACTTTCCTCTGAGCCTGCAGGTTCCATTTCGCGCCTGCCAAGCTCGGCTTCGGGGTCGTCGGAGCCCCTGCCGTCCAGCCCCGGCTCTCGCCGCCTTCCTGCAGCCCCGCAGCCGACGGGGCGGCTCCCCTTCCCGGCGCCGCCTCTGCCGGGCCAGCCTCCGGGGCGGGGCGAGCGGGACTACGAGTCCCATCAGGCCCGGCCCCGCCCGCCCGCTCACTTCCTCCCAGGCCACCAGCCAGGAGCCCCGCGCCGCGCCGACGGGCTGCTCGACGGGGCCGCCGCACTCCGGGCCGGCTGCCGCCTCCTCCGCCGCCGCGCCGCGCTCGCCCCCATGTCCGCCGCCTCGGCCCTCGCGGCCGGCTCGGCAGAGCTCCTGCGGGGCGACCGCGCCCCCTCCCTGCTGGCAAGTAGCGCGCCCCCCGACGCCGACGCCGCTCCGGAGGGTCCCTGCGCCGGGGGTGGGGGGGCCAGACACGTGTCGAGGGGGCCAGACACGTGTCGACGGGGCGCACCCTCCTGCCAGCCCAAAAGAGCCCTGGTGCCCAGGCGCCCACCCCCCCCCGACGGGTCCCTGCGTCAGGGGTGAGGGGCCAGATACGTGACGGAGAGCGGGACACGTGTCGACGGGGCGCACCCTCCTGCAAGCCCAAGGACCCCTGGGTCCCCAGGCGCGCCCCCCGACGCCGCTCCGGAGGGTCCCTGCGCCAGAGGTGGGGGGCGGGACACGTGTCGACGGGGCGCACCCTCCTGCGAGCCCAAAGGACCCCCGGTGCCCCCTCCCGACGCCGCTCCGGAAGGTTCCTGCGCCAGGGGTGGGGGGCCAGATACGTGACGGAGAGCGGGAGGGCAATGGGGCGCGCCCCCCTGCGAGCCCAAAGGACCCCCGGTGCCCAGGCGCCCCCCACCCCGGCGCCGGGGGGCTCCGTGATCCTGGACAGCCGTCGGGGGCCAGGCTTGCCTCGCCGCTGCCCGTCGGGGCCGCGCGCCACGGTGCCAGCTGCCCCGCCCCTCGCGGGCTCGGGAGGCTTCTCTGCCCGGGCTCGCCCTGGCGCAGTGCCCGGGCCGAGGGGGCGAGACCCACATCCGCCCGTCGGGGCCCGGGGGGGGGGGGAATCCCGCCGCCGCCGCCTCGGGTCTGGCTCGCGGCGAGGGCGCCTGGGGAAAGGGCGTAAAGGCCGACTCGGACCGGGAAAGAGCTGGGTTCCAATCCCCCCCCCCCCGAAGCTGGCTGGGTGCCAGGCTGGCCAACCTCACAGGGTTGTGGGGAGGGGAAAAGGAGGAGAACCACCTTGGGCTCCTCGGGGGAAAGGCGGATAGCAATGCAATTAGTAAGAACAACAGCAAAGGTAATAAACCAAAGTTGGAGCAGGGGAGCAAAAAAGCTGAGTAATTCAGAGATGGGCATCCTAAGGTGGGCTGAGCAAAGGAGACCCCTTGACCTGGTGCTGCAAAGTCTGGCGGAGGTGCCATGCGCGTGCCCCCTCCCCATCTCTGGCTGCTCCCTCCCTCTGGACAGTCGGGGCTCTCTAATAATAATAATAATAATAATAAATTTTTATTTATATCCCACCCTCCCCAGCCGAATCCAGGCTCAGAGCGGCTAACAACAAAAGTAACACAGTTTACATAAAATCACAATCAATTAATTGGCATGCATTCACCTCTGAGCAGGAGGCAGCTCCTGGCACGGCTGGGGCGCAAACAGACGCCCTGCCCTGGGACTTTTGGATGGACGTGGGGGGCCCAGGACCCCTTGAAACCAGGCTCAGCCCCAGGAACTTATTTCTAATGCCAGTGAATATCTCTGGGGCAGGTGGCGTTGTAACTGCCGGACGTGGCTTTGAGCAATGGCAGGGGGAGCGTGGGTCAGGGCAGAAGCTGCAAGGCACAGACCCAAATCCCCTTGGGGCATTCTTGAGGGGGGCACTCCTTGCCTCTAGGGCACCTGGCCGGGTACCAGGGGCCTGATCCTGCCGCGGCATGGCTCCCCTGTGGTTCTCAGCCTGCCTTCTCTCCCCCCCCCCCGCCTGCAGGGGGCAGACCAGGCGGACTATGAGGACGAGGACTTGGCGGGGGAGCTGATGGACGGGGGCGACGAGGAGCCCCGGGCGTGGACCCTGCAGGAGAAGGCTCTGCACGAGGCGCGGCTGAAGGCCAAGGCCAAGCGCCGCTTGCGCAGGACGTCCTCCCGCGACTCCAACCGCGAGTCCCTCTCCGAAGGCGGGGAGCCCCTCCCCGACCCCAGCAGCCCCAAGGGGAAGAGCCACGACCGCAAATCCCGCATGGGCAAAGGCCGGGGGCTGCCCAAGAAAGGTAGCAACGCCCCCCCACACCCCGGCCTCCTTGTGCCCGCTGCGGGCTCTGCCAACGGCCGGAGTGGCTGCAGCCGCCTTGGGGGGGTTGTTTGGGTGGCAGCGCTCAGCCCACCTCTCTCTCTCTCTCTCTCTCTAGGTGGCGCAGGGGGCAAGGGCGTGTGGGGGGCCCCCGGGGTGGTCTACAGCTACCAGGAGCCGGACGCCCGAGACCCCAACTATGACGAGGTGGCACAGGTACCCTGGGCCAGAGGAGGCGGGCCTGGGGGTGGTCTTCCCAGGCAGTTGTCCTTTCTCCCCACCCCGAGGCCACGTGCCCCATTGCCATGGGAGACCTTGTCCCTCCTGCCCCACAGCCTGCAGGGGGGCATAGAGGCCCCTTGGTGGCAGAGAACCTGAATCGTCGAACGCATGGTGAAGGACCCCAGCCCCATGGCCAGGCAGCGGGCACGGAGACGGCCGAGGGTCCTGGGTTCAGTTCCTGCCAGGATCTGCAGGCCTGGCTGGTAGAGAGCCCCATCTGGAATCCCGGGGGGTGTCTCCCTCCGTATGCCGGGTGCAGCTGTTGCAACGGATCTGGGAAGGGGGTGCTGATTGGCAGGGGGTATTCTGGCTGCTGCCGGCAAGGCGGCAGCCCCCAGGCCTGGGTGGGGGGACAGGCGCCCTCCCTTCAGTACAGGCCTGGCACCCGAGCCGGGGGCAGGAGGAGAGGGCAAGCCAGCCGCCGATTTCCTCCAGCCTCTTGAGCCCCTGGCGCTCCCCACCTGGCCCCAGGCAAAGCAAAGGAAAAGCTGGAACGAGGGTCCTTTAACTGGAAGACCCCTCTGCCCCTTGGAGGGGGGTCTCCCGCCATGATCCCCACAGCAGTGGGGCAGCCCACACCTTCTGGGGACGATGCCCCGTGGGGTTCACGGGCCGCCGGTTCCAGAAGGCTTGACGTTGCTCCGGCTGGGCTCTCTGCCCCCTTTCTGGGGGTCTTCTCTGGGTGCCTGGCAGGACCCTTCTGGAGAAAGGGGCAGGGTCCTCCAGGGCGAGGGGTTGTGGGTCTTGGCAAGCCTGACCCCTCCCTCTGTGCCGCCTGGCCTCTCCCCAGGGGGACACGGTCTACGCCACGGTGGTGCCTGAGCTGGAAGAGGAGGAGCTGGAGAAGGCCGTGCAGCCCATGATGAAGGAATACTTTGAGCACGGAGACACTCTGGAGGTGGTGGTGCGTATTCCCGGGCCGGAAGCAGGATTCGGGGGGGGGGGGCAGCCGGGATTGGGGCCCCCTCAGATGTTTGCCCCCTGGGCCGCCGGGAATTCTGCTGCAAGCCAGAGTGGGCACTCTGGGGGGAAGGGAGGGAGGGAGGGCAGGAAGGGATGTCATGGAAGAGGAATTCCAGAATTGTAGAGTTGGGCAGGGACCTCCAGGACTCATCCAGCCCCACCCCTTGCAACGCAGGCGTCGCAGCTAAAGAATCCCAGGCTGGCAGCCCTCCGACCTCTGCTTAAAAACCTCCTGCGAAGGAGAGGCCATTCCCTCCAAGGCGAAAGAACGGATCCAGGGACAGGGTCACTTCTTCCTCGTTCAGAATCGGACGCTGGATCTGAGCTCTGACTGGGGAGGGAGGGGGACATTTGTGAGGCCAAGGGGGCCTTTGTTTGATTTATCGGCTACTTTAAAAGGAGGCTGCATTTTAAATTGCATTTTATGTTTTTATTGTGATATTATTGGTGTTAGCTGCCCTGAGCCCGGCTCTGGCCAGGAAGGGTAGGGTATAAATAATTTATTATTATTATTATTATTATTATTATTATTATTTGACATGGCAGCTGGGAAAGTCTGGCCAGGGCGGGGGCTCTGCTCCCCTTCTCCTGGGCCAGTCGGTTCTTGAAATAAACAGAATGATGAGACCCTCCAGAGTGGGCAGGTGGCCTTGAGGAATCCGCTGGCAGTAATGAGAATTGCAATATCGAAGGTCAGTGGATCCCAGGTCCCCTATGGTCCTTAAGAGGCTGGGCTCCCTCTTCTGTCTCACCCTGAAGCTCAGGTGCCAGCAAAGTTCAGAGAGGATGGAAGTTGTCCCTTCCAAGCCGACAATTCTGTGATTCATTGGAATCTCTTAAACAGGTTGCCAGGGTGATTTCTGCATCGCAGGGGGTTGGACTAGATGGCCCTATGGGATCCCTTCCAGCTACAGTTCTGTGATTCTATGGGGGTGAGAAGAGCAGCTTGGCAAGTTCCTGTTTGTGCTGGGCAGAAGGGAGTCCCATTTGCAAAGGAGGCCACCAGCCCCCCTTCTATCTGCCCACCTGAATGCCCCACTGAATAATATAATAATAATTTATTATTTCTACCCCACCCATCTGGCTGGGTTTCCCCAGCTACTCTGAGTGGCTTCCAACAAGAGATTAAAAATACATTAAATCATCAGTCATTAAAAGCTTCCCTAAAAGCCTTCAGATGTCTTCTAAAAGTCTGGTAGTTGTTGTTCTCTTTGACATCTGGTGGGAGGGCGTTCCACAGGGCGGTGCCACCACTGAGAAGGCCCTCTGCCTGGTTCCCTGTAACTTGGCTTCTTGCAGGGAGGGAACCGCCAGAAGGCCCTCAGAGCTGGACCTCACTGTCCGGGCAGAGACGCTCCTTCAGGTCTACCCCACTGGAAGGGCAGCGAGGGCGTCTCCATGGGGCCTCCACCATGGACTAGCAAGGACTAGCAAGTCGTGGTGGCTACTAGCCAGAATGGCTCTGCTCTGGAAGGAGGCAGTTGTGCTTCCGAATATCACTTGTTGGAGACGGCAGAAGGGCAGAGGTTGTTCTTGCGCTCAGATCCTGCTTGTGGGGTTCCCATAATGGGCGTCTGGTTGGCTACTCGGAGAGAAGGATGCCAGGCTGGGTGGACCATTGGCCTGATCCGGCAGGCTCTCCTAATAATAATAATAATAATAATAATGATAAATTTTATTTATTCCCCAGCCAGAGCCGGGCTCAGGGCGGCTAACACCAATAAAATCACTGTAAAAACATAATAGAGGGGAAAGGGGGGGGGGAGAAAAACCCAATTTAAAATACAGGTTAAAATGCAATTTAAAATGCAGCCTTATGTCCCGTCCCCAGGGCAGTGCGGCTGTGGACTGATCCTGCCTCCTCAAAACTTCCTTGCCCGTCTTGCTCAGAGCGGCCAGGCCACCCCAGTGAGATGGGTGCGGTGCAAATAATAAAGTTATTGTTCTTCTTATTATTATTGCAGGAGCTGCTCCGCGAGCTGAACCTGGGCGGGCACAAGGCGTCTGTGCCCTCGCTGGCCGTGGCGCTGTCTCTGGAGGGCAAGGCCAGCCACCGGGAGCTGACCTCCCGCCTGCTCTCGGACCTGGTGGGGAAGGTGATGAGCCCCGAGGACATCGCGGCCGCCTTTGACCGGACGCTGAGCGACCTCCCCGACCTCATCCTGGACACCCCCGAGGCCCCGCAGGTGGGGGGCAGGCCGAGCCCTGCGAGGGGGGGCTGGGTTGGGGGGAACGGGGGGCAGACGGACGTGTGACCCCTCCGCCCCCTGTGTCCGTCTTTGCAGATGCTGGGCCAGTTCATCGCGCGGGCCGTGGCGGACCATGCGCTGCCGCTGGACTTCCTCGAGCGCTACAAGGGGCGCGTGGACTGCGAGCACGCTCGGTGAGGGGGCCAGGCTCACGGGGGGAGGGCAGATGGGGGCCACGCCCGCCCCAGGTGTGACCCACTCAGGGTTGGCATGCACCCAAGGAAACGGGGGCAGTTGGCAGGCTGGTGTGCCGGGCGAACTCCGGGCCTTGGCGCAGCATAAATCAGCGACCCAGGCTTTAGACGACGGAGCGCGCTATTCAGCAGAGAAAACGGTGCGCAAACAGAGAGGCTGTGTGAGCATATTTACAAGCAGCTCCTATTCAGTGTAGATCAGGACAAAAGGAAACACGTCTGATCTCCTTCGTGTCCAAAGCAAAACAGAAAACTAAACACAAACGGAAGTTCCCAGCGTGCAATGCTGGTGCGTGTTACAGACATGCGACACGCAACTCTCCCGTGTCTGTTCCTTAAGGTGGAACGGAATTCTCAACACTTGGGGCTGTCTTAAGCATATCCGGCGCTGTGGTGCAAAACTCCCTCCGGCACCCCCCCCCCCGTTTCCCAGAGTTTTTTAGGGAGGACGGCGCTGCTGGCGGGGCTGGCGGAGGCTGGCAGCGGCTGGAGGGCGGCTCCTTAAGCGGGGAAGAGGTGGAGGCTGGATGCTGCGCCTCCTGGCTCAGCTGGCGGCTTCGTGCCATGGTTGCCACGGCAGACAGAGGCTCTGGGCGCGGCGCTGCTTTGGCGAGGCATGCGGAGGCAGGTGAGGGCAGCGAGCTGATGCCACGTCCAGCCTCCACCTCTTCCCTGGTGAGGCGTTCCCAAAGCAAAGGAAGGATTGAACTCTGATTAATAGAATACACACAGAGGCTGGACCAGCAAGACTGGGAGGAGTGCATATAATAATCTCTCTCTCTACCCTCCGGCCCAGGTCATTTTATTCACAAAAGAACTTTTTACACAGTGTTTGTAAGAACCAATCAGATTTCCTCTGAGCATTTCAAAACCCCCACGTGGGACAAAGTTAAAAGTTAAAACTACAAAGAGCTAATTTCCTACTTGAGTATGCATATGTAATTCTGAGTAAATAAAAGAAGAAGCAAAGAGAAATGCTTTTAGGAAACTCCGGAGGTCCTAAACAGGAGAGGCAGGATTTACCATCTCCTTATGAACTCTCTTCCTGGCCCTTAAGATTAACAAAACTAACAATAGCTACATCAAAGCTAACTATCATCTTTATGACCCAGAATGCCTGATGCAGTAACTGACCCGTGTTTCAGAATGCTTATACGTGCCTGTCAGGCGTAGAAAATGAACAGTAGAGAAAATGGCCAGAAATGCAGAGGCTTGTGGGATTTGATCAGAAATTATTGCCAATGAATCGAACCCAGTCAACGCAATGCTTTCATCATGGACACAATGGCTTGGTGCATATTTTATAATTCCTCATAGTAATCCCACCTGACCCCCACACTCTGGATATTTGTACTCCTACACCTGACACCCTCCAAAACTTTTTTCCCCCAAATTTTTCAAATTAATTTTCACAAAGTTATAAACAAACAAGCATAAATCATAACCTTATTAGAATTACACTTATTAACATTGTTAAGTGACTTCCTCGCTTCCCCTTGGTTGAATTTCCATGCATATTCTTATAATGGCTTTCCAAATCCTGATTCTTATAAACTTAACGTAGTCCATTAACATCCTTATATCTTTTCAATTCAAAATTGTACATGTTAAACATCACTTAATTTATATAAATTCCTAAGCCAATCTGTTGCCTGCAAGCTATTTCCAATTAGTTTAACTTAACAAATTTAGCTAAATAATCGTTTAATTTTGTCCATTCTTCCCAAAACCTGGCACCCTGGCGCCCCACGCCACCAGCCTCTATGGGTAAGACGCCCCTGGACCCCCTCGCCCTCCCCGCTGCCCCCTCTTCCCTGATGTCCGGCTGCCCGCTTCTCCGCAGCGCATGGGGCCACGTTACTCCCGGGTGTCCCTCCCAACCCCACAAAACCGTTCTCCGTTTCCAGGGCTGCTCTGGACCGCGCGGCCGTCCTCTTGCGCATCAAGCGGGACGTCAACCGCCTGGACAACGTCTGGGGCGTGGGGGGCGGACAGAGGCCCGTCAAGCATCTCATCAAGGAGGTGAGGCGGAGCTTGAGAAAAGTGCTCAAACGCACCGTATTTGGTGGGGGTGTGAAAACATAAAACAGCTTTGGAACAATATATGCGAAGAATTAAAGAAAATATTTGAAACGTCAGTTAAGAAGAAACAAGAAGTGTATCTTCTGGGTTTGATAACAGAAGACCATCCCCAAGAATAGGATAAATATATTCTTATGCGCAACGGCAGCTGCCAAGACATTGATTGCAAAAAATTGGAAAGGGGAATATGTACCCTCAGATTTTGTGTATTCCTAAATATGGCAAAATAACTGCAATAAGAGGAAATCAAACCAAGGAACAAAGAAAGAATGGAGTTGCGTAAGAGAAAATATAAAGAAACATTGTTTGAGAATAGGAATATTGATATGCAGAATAAGAACGACTCAGGGATAAGAGAAAGGGTAACAATAAGCAGAACACACGAAAGCTCAAACCAGAACAAACTTAGTTGGTCTATAACGGGCATAGGCAACCTTTGGCCCTCCAGATGTTTTGGCCTACAACTCCCAGGATCCCTAGCTAACGGGACCAGTGGTCAGGGATGATGGGAATTGTAGTCCAAAACATCTGGAGGGCCAAAGGTTGGGGGGTGCCTGGTTTACAACCATATTCCGTTCTGGGGGTCCATTTGTAAACCAAAACAGGTTGTGACCCAAGGCGCACTTTCACCAATTGGGCCTCCGAAAAACAATTTGTTCGTAATCCCCCCCCCCAAAAAAGGTTGCAAACCGGGACACGCATTTCTGGGTTTGACGTTTTTGTAATCCAAGGCGTATGCAAACCAAGGTACCACTGCGCAAGTCTTCCAGGGGCTCAAAGGTGGAGCAGCCTTGGGGTCAGAAGCCTCCATTTCTGGGCAGGATGCAGTCCCTCTGAGCCCCCCAGCTGCAGAGCCCAGTCTCCCCTTCCGTAGGCCCCACTTTGCATGGCTGCCCTTTCCGGGACCGGCCCCATGGAGCAGCGACGCTTGCAAAGGAAGCTTGCATCTCCTGGCCTTGAACTCTCCCCAGTTCTGCCAGTCACAATCTGGGGAGACACACAGCAGCTGCTGTTGTGCACGGCTGGGGGGGCAGATAGGGGGCTGGAATTTTGCCTCAATGGGGGTCTGGAGAGGTGCTGCATCCTGCCTGGACCCAAATTAAAACGCCAAGGCGTTTCCTTCTTGGGGGGCGGCAGAATTCCTTGCAAAACCTGGGGGGTGTCAATGCCCCACAATAGCAGCCTTTGTTTCTAGGCTTGGCTGGGGGGGGGGGCTCAGTGCTCCCTTGCTCCCTCTCTGCTATTATTATTATTATTATTATTATTATTATTATTATTATTTTCCAGCAAATTTTAACAAATTCAAAAATTCAAATTACGTTTTACAATTTCAGTTAACTCCCAACTTCCTTTTCTGGTTTGTAACATACTTGTTTGTTCTGCTTATAATTTTATATCCCTTATATGCTAAAATTAACATTGTCTTCTTAATCTCTTCTTAATATTTGTCCATTGCAAGTGTATGACTCAAATCCTGCCAGTGAGTTCATTTCAGTGCATTGCTTCTGTATACACATCCTAAAAGGTTCCCAGTCTTTTTTTAAAGTCTCTGTGTGTGTTCACCATGCTTCTTTTTTCTGGTCTCTCACCGCCCTCTCCGCTCTTCCAGATGAACCTCTTGCTCCGCGAATACCTGCTTTCGGGCGAAGTCTCTGAGGCCGAGCACTGCCTTCGCCAGCTAGAGGTGCCTCACTTCCACCACGAGCTCGTCTACGAGGTAGCGCAGGGCATCCTTCGGGGCCCCTGGGTGCTGCCTGGGTACGAGCAGCGCCCGCCTCCGGGGGCTTGGCAGCTCTTGGCCTCTGGGCACGGCTTCTGGAGTTGGGCCTCGCCCGCTCCCCTCTGAGCCCTTTCCTGGCCTTCTTCCCCCAGGCGGTGGTGATGGTGCTGGAGTCCACGGGAGACACGGCCGTCGCCATGATGGTGCGGCTGCTGAAGGTGCTGTGGGAGACGGGCCTGGTGACGCTGGACCAGATGAACCGGGTGAGGGCCGCCCCCTGGGATGGGCGCAGATGGGCTGCCGCCCGGAGTTCTGCAAGGCAGGCCCAGAGGGGCCAGAGAATGGGGATTTTATGTTGCGTAGTGCCTTGAGATCTGTGGGTATTGGGTGCTGTACCAGTTGAATTAATAATAATACAGTGGTACCTCTGGTTGCAAACGGGATCCATTCCGGAGGCCTGTTCGCAACATGAGCAGAACGCAACCTGCGTCTGTGCATGCGCAGGTCGCGATTCGCCGCTTCTGCGCATGCCGTCATTTTGTGCAAGCAGCAAAACCCGGAAGTAACCCTTTCTGGTACTTCTGGGTTGCCGCGGGACGCAACCTGAAAATGTGCAACCTGAAGCAAACATAACATGAGGTATGACTGTAATAGTAATAATAAATAATAATAATAGGAAATTCTAACCAGAAATAGAGTAAAGATTGGCTAACGTTCAAATAATATCTTTAAAAGGACGGTACGAACACACAGAGAGCCAGTGTGGTGTAGTGGTTAAGAGCGGCGGACTCGTAATCTGGGGAACCGGGTTCGCGTCTCCGCTCCTCCACCTGCAGCTGCTGGGTGACCTTGGGCCAGTCACACTTCTCTGAAGTCTCTCAGCCCCACTCACCTCACAGAGTGTTTGTTGTGGGGGAGGAAGGGAAAGGAGAATGTTAGCTGCTCTGAGACTCCTTAGGGTAGTGATAAAGCGGGATATCAAATCCAAATCCAAAGCTCCCGACAGATTTGGATTGAATCTTGGAAGTTCAAGGAAATTATAAAGTCAAAATTTCTCCTGATAATTAACCGAAAAGAATAAGAAAAATGAAGTGCGTATAGACTGGTAAGCACAATGAGATTAATGGGTATGTAATGTCAAATGAGGTGTTGCTGGTCAGTGTCTATGGTCTGTTTATGTGGTTTTTCGTTTTGTTTACGTTCTATGTAAATTGTTTTGTAATCAAGAGGGGATAATCATCATCATCATCATCATCTTGTGCTAATGCAGTCTGGCAGGGAGGCAGCCGTGCTGCTCTGGGGGGGTCCACCCTCAGCCCCCCCCCCCGCGCTGACCCCTCCTGCTTCCTCCCCCCCAGGGCTTCCAGCGGGTGTACGATGAGCTGGGAGACATCAGCCTGGACGTCCCGTTGGCGCACAGCATCCTGGAGCGGCTGGTGGACCTCTGCTTTGAGGAAGGCGTCATCACCAAGCCGCTGAGAGACGCCTGCCCTGCGCGGTAGGCCAGCCTCCCCCCTTCTTGCCCTCTGTGTCGCATTCCCAAAGCAAGCAAGGATTGGATTCTGATTAATAGAATACACATGAGGCTTGACCAGCAAGACTCTGGGAGGGGTGCCAATAATAAGAATCCTCTCTACCCCCTGGCCCAGGTTGTTTTATTCACAAAAGAACTTTTTACACAGTGTTCGTAAGAACCAATCGGATTTCTCTGAGCGTTTCAGAAAACCCCACGTGGGACAAAGTCAGATCAGAAGAAATCCTGTTAACTACAAAGACTACTCTGAGCTTGCATACACAATCTGAGAGTAGATAGAACAGGACTAGAGGAGGAATGGATTCAGAAAAACCCTGGAGGTCATAAACAGGCAGCGAAGGAAGGAAGGATGGCAAGGAAAGAGTATTTCCTTGTGAACGCTCTTCCTGGCCCTTAAGATCTACCTAAAGATTAAACTGCATCAAAGCTAACTATCATCTTTATGACCCAGGATGCCTGATAACTGGCCTGTGTTTCAGAATGCTGATACATGCCTGTCAGGCAGAGAAATAGGACAGGGATGCGGAGGCGTGGATTGATGAAAAATCATATCAAAATGTCTCAAACCCAGTCAACGCAAGGCTTTCATCGCGGACACAAATGGCTTGATCCATATTTTTTATAATTCCTCATTCCTGATCATTACACTCTGGGGTTCAGGCAGGGAGAGGGCAGAGGCCCCGAGCCCCACACTTGCTGGTCCGGCGGCCTCTCTCTCAAAACGGCTCAGATCCTGCGGGCCGCTTTTCCGCAGGCAAACGTGCACCAGTAAGAGTAGGGGCCTGGACTAGGTGGGCTGCTGGCCTGATCCGTCCGGCTTTCCTGATGCGCCCCTTGCGTCTGACGGGCGCTGGAGCCCCCTCCGTTCCGCCCCAATTTCCGGGAGGGTCCTTTGTTCGTGTGAACCGGAGACGGAGCAGTTTGCTAGGTCTCTCCAGTCCCAAGGCCTGCTTGTCTCTCTAGCCTTCTTTCGAGGGTCAGAAGAAGAGAATTGTGGCATTGGGGGGACCCCCAAAGGTCCTCTAGTCCAACCCCTCGCAGCTAGCTAGTTTCTGTGTGTGTGTGGCCGGGTGGCTGTGGCCATTACAGGGCTATGGGTCTTTGCAGACTGGAACGGGAATGGTTTTTGGGTTGGGGGGCCTGGGAATGGGGCAGCGAAGATCCAGAGGCTTTGTGTGTGGTTGTGTGTGTGTGTTGTGTTGTCTCTCTCTCCCCCCCCCCAACTCACTCTCTCCTTCTTTCCTCAGGGGCCGGAAGCGCTTTGTCAGCGAGGGGGACGGCGGCCAAATCAAGCCCTAGCTTGGTGCTTCCAGCCCTGGCCTCTGCCCCCTGCGATGCCCCCCCAGCCCAGCAGGGCCTGCCAGCTTCAAGGGAGAGGCCAGGAGGCTGCGCCAGACACCCCTCGCCCCCCCACCAGAACCAGCCTGGGAAGGAAAGGGAGCTTCAGCCACCACATCCGGGTCAGGCTGGCGAGGGGGGCAAAAGAGGGAGCTTGCCCTCCCTCAGGGCACCCCATCCGGGTCTTGCCCCCCTTCTCCAGACCCCCCCCCAAACACATCCAAGGAAGCAGAGGGGAGCCTGGGGCCCTGGTCCAGCGGGGATGGCGGCCGCCTTGGCATTCCTGGCCCTATAGGGCTCCCTAGGGACCCAGGCTTCCTCCAACAGGTCTAGCCCCTTGCTGCGTTCCAAAAGGGCACAAATACCTCCCCCAAAGCCCCCTCCGCAGTCCCCTAATTTCTGGGGGGGGGGAGCCCTAGCCTTGCTCCTTAAGGCGGGGGGGAGGAAGATCTCAAGGTCTGGGGAAGCAGCTCTTTTGGGTATCGGGGAGGGCAGAGCAGCGTCTCATGAGCACGGCTGGAAGATAAGGTGGGGGGTGGAGACGGGGAGGGGCCTGATGTCCTTGCAGCGGTGGGGGAAACGGGTGGCACGTGGAAAATCTAAAAATAAAAACGTATCCAAAGGAGCTGGCTGTACCTGTCTCTTCCTGCGACTGGTTGGGGGCAGGGACAAAAGGCTCGCAGGGGCAAAATGGCCGTGGCAGGAACACGGGCGTCACCCTCACACAATTTGCAAAAGGTGTGAACCCCCCAGGACACATAAAAGCTAATTATTATTATTAATTATTATTTTCAGGTAGGTAACCGTGTTGGTCTGACGCAGTCGAAATAAAAATAAAAAGGTATCTGAAGAAGTGTGCATGCACATGAAAGCTTATACCACAACAAACTTAGTTGGTCTGTAAGGTGCTACTGGACAATTTTTTATCTTTTATCATTAATAATTTATAATTTATACCCCACCCATCTGGCTGGGTCTCCCCAGCTGCTCTGGGCGGCTTCCAGCCAAATATTAAAAACAACACAGCATCAGACATTAAAATCTTCCCTAAAGAGGGCTGCCTTCAGTTGTCTTCTAAAAGTCAGATCGTTCTTTTATTTCCTTGACATCTGGTGGGAGGGTGTTCCATAGGGAGGGTGCCACCACCGAGAAGGCCCTCTGCCTGGTTCCCTGTAACTTGGTTTCTCGCAGGGAGGGAACCGCCAGAAGGCCCTCAGTGCTGGACCTCAGTGTCCAGGTAGAACGATGGGGGTGGAGACGCTCCTTCAGATATACTGAGGCCGTTTAGGGCTTTGAAGGTCAGTACCAACACTTTGAATTGTGCCCAGAACTTACTGGGAGCCAATGTAGGTATTTCGGGACCGGTGTAATGTGGTCTCAGCAGCCACTTCCAGTCACCAGTCTAGCTGCCGCATTCTGGATTAGTTGTAGTTTCCGGGTCACCTTCAAAGGTAGCCCCACATAGAGCGCATTGCAGTAGTCCAAGCGGGAGATAACCAGAGCATGCGCCACTCTGGCCAGACAGTCCGCAGGCAGGAAGGGTCTCAGCCACATGGAGAGCTGAGCTTCAGCATCTTCAGAGAACCAAGAAGGGCGACCTGCCTCTCGCGTGGTCCTGTGTCGGGTGGCAAAAGGGTCAGAGAAGCTCAGGGACCCATTCCTCACAGCAGCTGGAGAATTTCCTTTATGTTGCATTATATCCCACCTTTTGTTTTTCCTCCAAGGAGCTGAGGGTGGTGCATGTGGTTCTTCTCCTTTTCTCCTTTAATCTGCACAACAACCCTGTGAGGCAGGCAAGGCTGAGCGGCTTCATGGGAGGCAGTGGGGTGTAGTGGTCAGAGCATGGGTAGGCAAACCAAATCTGGCCTGCAGATGGTCCAGGAATCAGTGTGTTTTTACATGAGTAAAACGTGTCCTTTTATTTAAAATGCATCTCTGGGTTATTTGTGGGGCATAGGAATTTGTTCATCTCCCCCCCAAAAAAATATAGTCTGGCCCCCCACAAGGTCTGAGGGACAGTGGATCGGCCCCCTGCTGAAAAGGTTTGCTGACCCCTGGGCCAGAGGGTTGGCCTGGGACCTGAGGGAGACACGGGTTCAAGTCCCCAGCAGCCACAAAGCTCCCCGCGAAACCCTTGCGCCAGTCACACGCAGCCCAGCCTGCCCCACAGGGTCATTGGGACAAAAAAATGGGGAGAACTATGTTTGCCACTTGGAGCTCCTTGGGGGGGAAAAGGTGAGATATAAATGCAATAAATATAAAAATACAGCCTGGCTGGGATTTGAAGCCTGCTCTCTCTCAGATTGACACTCTACCCACTAGGCAACCCTGGCTTTTTAATGACGCCGGTGGACTTGGGGAGGCACAGAAGGGCTGCCCCACACATTTCTGGGGGCTCACCAGGACCAGGGCTGAGGGACCCATTTTGCCAGCCTTGAAACCCCTGTGGCGGCTCTCGGCCTTTTCCAGGTCCCACTTCTGACCGGGGGGGGGGGGGGCGGGGCGGGGTATGAAGTGGGGCAGGTGGTGACCCAGAAGAGGGACCCCTGTCTCTTGGGGGGCAGTATTTGAGGGGCCCTCCCCATGTGACGGGCCCTGCTCTCTTGGCTCCACTAGGGGGGCTGTTTCCTTGGTGTCCTGCTGCGGCTGGATCAGGTCCGAGGAGGGAGTCTTCCAGGCCAGCTTCCTGTTGCCCCCCAGGGACAGTGTGGTGCAGTGGTTAGTGTCCAGTTAACCCCAGGGTGTGTCCTCGAAGCTACCAGCATGAGTTTGACCCAACGGCAGGAGGCAGAAGACAGGAGGGCCTGGCCTGCTCTGGTCCAGGGGGTCACGAAGAGGCGGACACGACTAAACAGCAACAACAACCCCAGGGTACAAATCACCCTTTGGTCATTAATAATAATAATAATATTTATACCCCACCCATCAGGCTGGGTTTCCCCAGCCACTCTAGGCAGCTTCCAAAAGGAGATTAAAAGTACATTAAAACACCAGTCATTAAAAACTTCCCTAAACAGGGCTGCCTTCAGATGTCTTCTAAATGTCAAATAGTTTATTTCTTTGACCAAGAAGGCCCTCTGAGCTTCCTCAGATCAGCTGGAGGGCGATGGATGGATGGCGTGTGTAGCTCCCTTTTTTTCCCCTCCAAGGAGCTCCAGATGGCTTGCCTGGTTTTCTGCCCCCCCCCCCCCCGTGAGGGAGGCTAGGCTGAGAGGCCGGAGTGGTGGGATTTGAACCCAGGTCTCTGCCAGGTGATACTCCAGCATTTCTGCTCCTGTCAAGCTCCCCGGTGGGTGACCAGCCCCTGCCTCTCAGCCCTTATATGGGGATATAAATACCCTAGATGGAGCCAGGGCCGGATTGAGGTTTGATGCGGCCCTCGGATACTGAAGGTAACGGGGCCCTTGACATATACGGCTGTCCTTTGTCAACATCAAATGGTCCCTGTTTTTTGTGTGGAATAGATGCTAGATGGTCATTGATGGACCCAATAGGGATTGAAAGCCATTTGCACATCACAAAAATACGTATTTTATCAAAGTCATTGTGAACTGAAATACAATGCAGAAGTACATTAATAGTGAAATACAGTATTATTTTGTACATTAATACAAAATACAAGTATATTAATAGTGAAATTGTTAAGGTCCAACTATAGGTAGGTTTTATTTTAGCTGTTTTTTATCTTATATTTTGGAAATGTGCATCCAGTGGTTTTTCCTTTGATTTTTTGGGGGGGCCCAAAAAAATAAAGGGGGGCCCTAAAGTAGAGCTTGTTGCGCTTATGCGTCAATCCGCCCCATTGCAGACGCGCCCTCCCTGCTCGACGGCAACGCGCCCCACTTTGCGGAATCCCTGCCGCGGAGGCGCATGCGCGGGATGCCAACCTCTCGCCAGGCGCCACGGCACCCTTTGCCACCCCGACGGGGGGACCCGAGCACTTCCGGGGTGCCAGGCGGGGGGGAAGGCGGAGAAGGGGCGGGACTACATCTCCCAGAGGGCAGCGGGGTTGGCGCGCCGCGGGGCCTGCCGGGAAAGGTAGTTCTGCCCGCGTCGGGGAGCCGCGTGGAGCCGAGCCGGAAGGGTGAGCGAGTTGGCGCGGCCGCCCCCCGACGGCGCCTTGGGGGAGGGCGATCCCGGGCAGGATCCTGCCCGTCGGGGGCCGGAGGAGTCCCCGACCGGCTCCCGATCCCCTGCCCGACCAGCCCCAGCGACGCTTTCCCCTCTCCCGCCCCGTCGGGGCTGCAGGTGCGGCGGAGGATGGCCCGCGAGCGGCGGCGACCGGGACCCGAGGCGGGGCGGCGCCCGGCGGAGAAGGGACCCCCGAGGGCGGCGCCGGCGACGGGGACGAGGAAGGGGCGCGGCGGGGGCGCCGTCGGGGCTCCGGGGCAGGCGGGGGCGCCCGCTCCCGGCTGGCGGCGGTGCTGGCGCTGGGCTCGCTGGCGCTGGGCTTGGCGGCCGTGGGCTACGGCGTCGGGGCGCGGCGCTGGCGGGCGGCCCGCGTCCTCTCCCTGCACCCGGCGCCGCGCATCCTCGACGCCAACAGCAGCGGCCCCCAGGCCCAGCCCGGCCGCTTCTGGGGCTCCTACCGGCCGCAGGTCTACTTCGGCATGAAGGCGCGCAGCCCCCGCTCGCCCGTCGCAGGTGAGAGGGGAGAAGAAGCGCAGCTCGGGGTCGGGCTGGATGACCCCCGGGGGCCCCGTCCAACTGAGGGCATAGCTGTCAACGTTTCCCTTTTGAAAAGGGAAACCCCCTTCTTCCAAATAGGATTCCTCGCAAGAAAAGGGAAAGGTTGACAGCTAGGCAAGAGGGCAGGGTCTTGCCCACGCACCCGGCACCACCGGCACCTTTGGCCCAGGTCTGCGTGGCAGGTGGCACAAGGAGGTGGCACAGGGTCTGGAGCCTTTAGGAAGCTCCTGTTGGCACCCATTTGTCTCAGGAGAGCAGCGTTCGGGTAAAGTCCGATTTGGACAGGTGTCAGAGCCTGCAGAGAAGGTGCGCGTTCAGCCTGGGACCCACTTCCAGCGCAAAACAGACCCCAGGTAGCTGCTGCTGGAAAGACACCTCCCCATTGCCCCCCACTCACCCAGCAAAGGAGAGAGCGCTGGCATGATGCGACTCGTGAGGAGCTGGCACCTGTCACAGGCTGCTAGGACCGGGGAGGTTCTTTGTCCCAACAGCTGTTCCTTGGCAGCTGCTTTGGACATAGCTGTCAACGTTTCCCTTTTTTTAAGGGAAATCCCCTTATTCCGAATAGGATTCCTCGCAAGAAAAGGGAAAAGTTGACAGCTATGGTTTTGGAATCTGTGGCCCAATCGTTCTGATCTTCGTGTAAGGGTTCCTCCCAGCTCTGCAATTGCCCAACCCTCTCCCAAAATCTGGGCATCATCCGTGCTCCAAGAGGAAAGAAGGGAGCCAGTGAGTTCTGCAAGTCAGGCACAGATTTATTTAGTTTTTAAAAAATAAATTATTAAATTTTCCATTTCAACAATCCAATCCAATCACATTAAATATTCCAAATTATACAAATACATATCATATAGTCCAAATATTCTGCCAAATTATAAATTTTTATTGGGACTTCCCATGCTTCAGGTTCGGGGAGGGGGGGGCTCTGATCATCTCCTTGAGTTTCCAATAGTTCCTTTAAGTCTTCCTGTTGTGAACCTTCCTTCTCAAGGCAGGCACAGATTGGGCTTGCGAGGCTGCCGTCCCGGCCTCTGTCCTCGTGGAGCGTGGCCAAGAGACGAGGAGGCAACGGGGTCTGTGCCTTTGCTGTCCCTGGCAGAGTGGCTCTTGCCCTCGCGCTCCGCATTGCAGGGGGTTGGACTAGATGACTCTGGAGGGCCCTTCCGACTGCCATTCTGCGGCTCTTCCTGCAGGCCTCATGTGGATGCACCAGCTGGAGGGGGGCGTCCGGCTGCGCCACACCTGCGAGCAAAGCGACGGCCTCCCGCGCTACGGCTGGCTGCTTCACGACGGCGTCAATTTTGGGGTGCAGGAGATCCAGGACGTGGGCCTCAGCCTGCAGACGGAGTTTGTGAAGCGACCTGGGGGTCAGCACGGGGGAGACTGGAGCTGGAGGGTCACGGTGCGGCCCGAGGTGAGTGGGGAAGGGCCAGCGGGAGAGACGGGCATCTCTTAAGGAAGAATAATAATAAAAGTTATTTATACCCCGCCCTCCCCGGCCAGAGCCAGGTTCAGGGTGGCTAACACCAGTAAAATTACAATAAAAATATAATAGGGGAAAAACAAAAACCAATTTAAAATACAGGTTAAAAAGGTAAAGGGACCCCTGACCATTAGGTCCAGTCGTGGCCGACTCTGGGGTTGCGGCGCTCATCTCGCTTTACTGGCCGAGGGAGCCGGCGTACAGCTTCCGGGTCATGTGGCCAGCAGGACTAAGCCGCTTCTGGCGAACCAGAGCAGCGCACGGAAATGCCGTTTACCTTCCCGCCAGAGCAGTACCTATTCATCTACTTACACTTTGACGTGCTTTAGAACTGCAAGGTTGGCAGGAGCAGGGACCGAGCAACGGGAGCTCACCCCGTTACGGGGATTCGAACCGCCTACCTTCTGATCTGCAAGTCCTAGGCTCTGTGGTTTAACCCACAGCGCCACCCGCGTCCCTAAAAAAATACAGGTTAAAATGCAATTTAAAATGAAGCCTCATTTTAAAAGTTAAAACCATAAGGGAGGGAAACATAAGGGTCAGACTGAGTCCAAACCAAAGGCCAGGCGGAACAGCTCTGTCTTGCAGGCCCTGCGGAAAGATGTCAAGTCCCGCAGGGCTCTAGTCTCTTGTGACAGAGCGTTCCACCAAGTCAGGGCCAGTGCTGAAAAGGCCCTGGCCCTGGTTGAGACCAACCTAACCACCTTGCAATTTGGGACCTCAAGGTCCTCCGTGGGACATACCAGGAGAGGCGGTCCCATAGGTATGCACCCATGGCCCTTCGAGGAGCTGGAGGGAGGTGCAGGGGGGCTCCTGCCTAGCTGTTACCAGGCCCAGGCATGCTTGCACCTAAGAAGAGCTTGCAGGATCAGGCCAGTGGCCGGCGGGAAACTCGCAAGCAGGATCTGAGCCGAAGAGGTGAGCTTTGCTGCCTCCGACCGTGGAAGCAGAATGCAGCCGTTGTGGCTCATAGCCACTGCTAGCCCTCTGCTCCGTGGCTTGAGGCTGATGGCTCCTTCACAGGCCTTCAGATGGCGGCCTGGCACCCGCTTGCCGGCAGACCTCAGCAGGGGGGGCTACACAGCGTAATTTAATTTTAAGCACAAGGAAGCCTCTGGTTTCCTTGCCTTGTTTGTTCCAAAACACGCACAGCCCTTGAGGACATGAAGATAATCCACCGCATCGTTCTCCTTCTGCCTCTTATCTTATCCCGTGACCTCGAGACGGCAGCCGAGGCCCCAAACTCCGTCCGAGGGGCGGAAGGGAGCCAAGTTTCTCCCAAGTTTAGAATGCAGGGGGCTATGAAGATGATGGACTTTTCGGAGCTAGCTGACTGGAAGAGTCCGCGACCAGAAGGAGGAGGAGTACCAGAAGGAATGGATGAAATTCAAAGACTATTTAGTTAAATATGTTAAGACAACTTGATTGGGAAAATTTGCAAATATCAGATAGGCTTAGGGTTTAAATATGTGATGTTAGAGAATAAAATGTTTAAAGTTAAAATGAAAAGAAAGAACGATGTTAAGTGATTAAGTTAATTTTAGGAGAAATTTGGTTTTGAAAAACTGTTACAAAGATATATACTGAAACTCAGCCAGAGGGATTAGAGGAAGTCACCTAACCATGTTATGAAGATTGGATTAAGTACAGTTAAGATTTATGTTTGTTTGTTTAAACAACCAGTAAAAACCAATAAAAAAAAATAGGGGGAAAATAATAGAATGCATGGGGCTAACCGGCCCCCGCCTGCTCCAAGATGCTCAGCCAGGGTGCAAAGGCCTCTCTCAGCTCAGGTTCCCGAGACTTTGACCCACAAGTGTCACCCAGAGCGGGGCTCTCAGAAGCAGACAGGCGCCCAGGCAGACAGACTCCTAGAGTGGTAGACTTGAAGGGGGTGCCAAAGGTCCTCTAGCCCAACCCCCCAGCAGTTCATCCATGACAGAGCTCACCCTCGCACTCAATAATAAATAATAATAATAATAAATTTTTATCTATACCCCCCCTTCCCGCTTCAAAAACCGGGCTCAGGGCAGCTAACAACCAATTTAAAACACTTAATTGTAAAAGCAGCATAAAATACAACATAAAAACACAAATAACAATAAAATTCAAAGTTCAGAAATCAATTTACGGCTAGCTGGCTGAATTGGTCCCACTTGGGCCAGCGAGGAGGCCAGGGGAGAATTAGCTGTGGGGTCTCAGGGTGGGTGATCTTCATAAAAGGGGAGGGGGAGGGAAGAGAAGGGAAATAAAAGATCAGGCTGATTTCAAATTAAAGGCCAGGCGGAATAGCTCTGTCTTACAGGCCCGGCGGAAGGAGGTTAAATCCTGAAGTAATAATAATAATAATAATAATTTATTATTTATACCCCGCCCATCTGGCTGGGTTTCCCCAGCCACTCTGGGCGGCTTCCAACAGAACACTAAAATACAATAACCTATTAAACATTAAAAGCTTCCCTAAACAGGGCTGCCTTCAGATGTCTTCTAAAAGTCTGGTAGTTGTTTTTCTCTTTGACATCTGGTGGGAGGGCGTTCTACAGGGCGGGTGACACCACCGAGAAGGCCCTCTGCCTGGTTCCCTGTAACTTGGCTTCTCTCAGGGAGGGAACCGCCAGAAGGGCCTCAGAGCTGGACCTCAGTGTCCGGGCAGAACGATGGGGGTGGAGACGCTCCTTCAGGAATACTGGGCAGAGGCCGTTTAGGGCTTTAAAGGTCAGCACCAACACTTTGAATTGTGCTTGGAAACGTAGTGGGAGCCAGTGTAGGTCCCTAGTGAAGGGCCCTAGTCTTCTGGGACAGAGCAGTCCACCAGGTTGGAGCCATCACTGAGAAGGCCCTGGTGGAGGATAGTCTGACTTCCTTAGGGCCCGGGACCTCTAACCTATGGTTATTCATGGACCTTAAGGTCCTCTGCAGGGCAGACCGGGAGAGGCGGTCCGTAAATACGGGGGCCCTAAGCCACAAGGCAGGGAGAGGAGTCTTATGGCTTCCTGACGGTGCTTTCCTGTCCTCAGAGAACTGGGCCCCCGGCCCCCTTCATCTCTCTGCTCTTCTACGTGGCGACGGATGGGCAGGGGTCTCTGCAGCCTGTGGTGGAGCAGAAGACCGGCCGCTTGGCATCCCTGACGGGCACCACAGAGGAGCTGGGCCACTTCACCATCACCTTCCAGCAGCCCACCAACGAGGCTGGCACAGCACCTCTCTACGCCAGGTACCCTGCAGGGCAGAAGTGCCACCATTTTCAATCCTAGGGGGTGGGGTGGGGATGTGATTGTGTCTCCCTTAAGTAAGAACCCAAGCCGAGGCGGATGGATCAGACCCATGGCCCAGCATGCTGCTCTCAGAGTGGCCAGCCAGATACCCATTACAGGAAACACACAGGCAGGATCTGGGCACAGAATCAACTCTGCCCTCCTGCGGTTTCCAGCAGCTGGCATTTGGAAGCATTGCTCTGGACGAGAGGTCCCGAGGGTGGCAACATGAGAACGGGGCCTTTTCTGCAGTGGCTCCCCATTTGTGGGATGCTGTCTCCAGGGGGGCTCACCTGGGGCCTTCACCATACATCTTTAGTGCCCGGCTAAACGTTCCTCTTCAACCAGACCTTTGTCTGATTGATTGATATCTGACTTATATACCACCCGTCAGCAAAAGATCTCTGGGCAGTTTATAAGACATTGGGTATGGGTATTGTATACAGTGGTGCCTCACAAGACGAAAAGCCCGCTAGACGAAAGGGTTTTCCGTTTTTCGATGCGCTTCGCAGGACGAATTTCCCTATGGGCTTGCTTCGCAAAACGAAAAAGTCTTGCGAGTCTTGCAATTTTTTTCGCTCCCCCCCCTTTTTCTAAGCCGCTAAGCCGCTAATAGCCTTTTAACCGCTAAGCCTTTAATAGCCGCTAAACCGCTAATAGCGCTAATCCGCTAAGCTGCTAATAGGGTTGCTTCGCAAGACGAAAAAACCGCTAGACGAAGAGACTCGCGGAACGGATTAATTTCGTCTTGCGAGGCACCACTGTACATTCCAGTTGGCCAATTTAACTTGCATGCTGTTCAGTCATTATGGTACCAAATTATGATCAATGCAGTTCTAAAATTAATATTAAAATATGATTCATATTCTACCGCCTTTTAGCTCTGTTTGTGGGAAGGAGGGTTATGTTTAGTTTCACTTTTGCTTTAATTACCGCATTTTTCCGTGTATAAGACTAGGTTTTCCCCCTAAAAAATAATGTCAAAAATTAGGAGGCGTCTTATACACAGGGCCATCTCCCCCCCATTTTCTTAAACCGGAGTCCCCAAAAATAGGGGGTATCTTATACATGAGGGTGTCTTATAGACAGAAAAATACGGTATATATTTTGTGCTACTATCCTTCGTTTTATCTTGTGAACCGCCCTGAGATCTGCGGGTTAAGGGGCACTATATATAAATGATAGATAGATAGATGATAGATAAATGATAGATAAATAGATAGATGATAGATAAATGATAGATAGATATATGATAGATAAATAGATAGATGATAGATAGATGATAGATAAATGATAGATAGATAGATAGATAGATGATAGATAAATGATAGATAGATGATGGATGGATAGATAGATGATGGATAGATAGATAGATGATGGATAGATAGATGATGGATGGATGGATGGATGTATAGATAGATAGATAGATAGATAGATAGATAGATAGATAGATAGATAGCTGTCTCTGGCCGTGGAGGAAGAGCAGTAGTCCTGGGCGCTGATTCTCGCTCCCTTTCTCCCTCTCCAGTTACAACCACCTGCAGGCGAAGGCCGAAGGGCTGGACCGCCTGAGCGACGTGGTGAAAGCCAGCCTGACCCCTCGCTTCACCTTCTCCCCGCCAGGAGCCCCCAAGCGCCGCTACTTTGGGGTGGATGCCTCTCACTCCCCGGCCGGGGAGAGAGCGCCCCCTCACAGCCAGCTGCTGGTGCACCAGGTGACGGTGTCCCTGCCTTGCCGCCTGGAGGTGCTCTTTGAGTCGGGCAGTGCGGGCGACCGTGCCGGGCGTCTGGCGGGCGAGGCTCTGTCGCAGGAGCTGGGCCGGCACACGGCGGCCTTTGAGCGGCGCTTCGAGGAGGCCTTTGGCCTGGCACGCAAGGGCTTCTCCCCACCGGAGCAGAGCTTTGCGCGGGCCGCCCTCAGCAACATGCTGGGCGGCATGGGCTACTTCCACGGGCGCTCGCTGGTGCAGTCGCCCCACGCCGAGCTCCCCCAGCCCTACCCGGAGGCACCGCTCTTCACGGCCGTGCCCTCCCGCTCCTTCTTCCCGCGGGGCTTCCTGTGGGACGAGGGCTTCCACCAGCTGCTGTTGGCCCGCTGGGATGCGGCGCTCAGCCGAGATGTGCTGGCGCACTGGCTGGACCTCATGAACGCCGAAGGCTGGATCCCCCGGGAGCAGATCCTGGGCGCCGAGGCCCGCGCCAAGGTGCCCGCGGAGTTCGTCGTGCAGCACAGCAGTGCTGGAAACCCCCCCACGCTCTTCCTGGCGCTGCGGCAACTGCTGGCGCAGGAAGCTCTGGAGACGGACTACCTGCGGCGCCTCTACCCGCGGCTGCAGAGCTGGTACGACTGGTACAACAGCACGCAGGCTGGGCCCCTGCCCTTCACCTTCCGCTGGCGCGGGCGCGACCAGGACACCCAGGCATTCCTGAACCCCAAGACGCTCACCTCCGGCCTGGACGACTACCCGAGGGCCTCGCACCCCTCGGAGGACGAGCGCCACCTGGACCTGCGCTGCTGGATGGCCGTGGCCTCGGGCGTCATGGCGGAGGTGGCCACGCGGCTGGGGGAGCCGGCCGAGGAGTACCGGCGCATGGCGGAGGCGCTGTCGGACGGGCAGCTGCTGGACCAACACCACTGGGCTGAGGCGCTGGGCACCTTTGCCGACTACGGCAACCACACGCAGGCGGCGTCCCTGGAGCGTGAGAAGCTGCGCCCGCCTCCTCCGGGGCAGCCCCTGCCCACGCCGCGCCTGCTGCGGGTGGTGCGGAAGGCGCCCCGGCTGCAGTTTGTGGGGGGCGCTTTTGGCTACGTGAGCCTCTTCCCGCTGCTGCTGCAGCTGCTGCGCCCCGACTCGCCGCGGCTGGGCAGCCTGCTGACCGACCTGCGCAGCGAGAGGAAGCTGTGGACGCCCTTTGGGCTGCGCTCGCTGTCGCGCTCCAGCCCCTTCTACCTCAAGCACAACACGGAGCACGACCCCCCGTACTGGAGGGGCCCGGTGTGGGTCAACATCAACTTCCTGGCCGTGCGGGCTCTGCAACACTACGGCCGGCTGGAGGGGCCCTTCCGGGAGCAGGCGGCTGCCCTGTACCGGGAGCTGCGCGCCAACGTCGTGGGCAACGTCTACCGGCAGTACCTGGAGAGCGGCTACGTGTGGGAGCAGTATCACGACGGCACGGGCAAGGGCCAAGGGTGCTACCCCTTCACGGGCTGGTCGGCCCTGGTGGTGCTCATGATGGCCGAGGAGTACTGAGCTTCCGAAAGTGCCAGGCTGCCTCTGCCATGCTCTTGGCGGGCGCGGTGCCCGCCTCCCCCCCTCAGGTGTTTTGACTCCTGGGCAGCTGGCCTCCACTGCTCTCCCTCCAGGATCCGACTTCTAATTTTCTAGCGAAATAAAGCTGTGAAACTGGACGCGCCTCTTCGGGCTGCTTGGGCGTTCCCATGCGCTGCCGCCTCTGGAGTTCGGGGCTGGGAGGGGAGAGGCCTTGGAATCAGAAGCGAAGGCAACATGAAAGAGGTTTGTGCACTCAGAGCGGCTCCCTGGGGCTGGTGGTGAATCTGCACTTGGGATTTTATTGTTGTTTTGCAAAATTTATTGTTTTGAAAAACCCTCAAAGCCTTTACCTGTTTTTAGCTCCTGGGAGGGTTTTGACTGGCCCCCTGCTGCTTATGATTTGGGGAGTGCAGCTACAAATGTGCTGCCAGTTAACAACTTTTTGAAGCCTTGGGAATTAATGGGTTTATGGTGCTATAAGCTGATGTGAACCGGGATCAGCTGCTTCAGGGCCACAGCGTGTTTCTCCACACTCAGAGTTGTAGAAGGGGCCTTGAGGATCATCTAGCCCAACCCCTCTGCAATGCAGGAATATGCAGCTGTCCCAACCAGGGATTGAACCTGCAACCTTGGTGTTGTCAGGACCAGACTCTAAGCAACTGAGCTGTTGCAGCCAGGCAAACAAAGAGATATATGCATGCATGCAGGTGCAGCCACACGGCCCATCAGCCTCGCCTGAATTCCATCCCAGTGCCAATACTTAGGTGGGCAAAATGGCACCATCTGCCCATAGGAGGGAGGGAAGCCCTCAGCCCAGCCCAGCCCTGCCTCCAAATCCAAACCGCAGGGGACAGAGTGAGCTGAGCCCCAAAGGATCTTGCCTGACTGGTTGCTGGGTGATATGGAAAACAGTCTTTTCCATGGAGCTGCCCAGAGCTTGAACGTCCAGCCTCCAAGGAGGCTGCTCTGCCCCTGGACCACAGCATCTCTCGCCAGGCCATCTCAAGGCACCCAAAATACTTAACGGCTTCACCATGCCATCACCTTTCCTGGGCTGCAGGCCACTTCAGCAGCGACAGCTGGAGGGCAGAGGGCTCTTGTGCTTGGATCCTGGTTCCCCCCCCCCCCGGCTGGCCCCTGTGAGAACAGAAGGCTGGTCTAGATGGGCTGTGGCACCGATTCAGCTGTACTCCTTGTCTCCTTAGTGCTGCCCTCCGGTAGCAGTTGCATGGAAATCTGGGTTGCCACTTGCAAGAAAACTGTTTTGGCACAGGGTGCTACAGCCAACCATTCCCCGTCCCGGCCAGATTCCCAGAGTCCGTCCCCCCCATTCACCGGAGACAAGTGTGGCCCCGCTGCAAGTGTGGACTTGGTGTTCAGGCAGATTCCTCAGCTCCTGGACCTCTGGGTTTTGAGTCCACAGGCTGGCATAGGTGGTGGGCCTCCCTGTTTGGCCACATGGATTTGTGGACAAAATGGTATCGTGAAAGTTTGCCCCGTCTCCAGTGTAACCCCCCACCCAATGAGTGGCCCCTGCCATAGTTAGGGAGCAATACATAAATGCACCCCACCATTCATTTTACTGTCTGCTGATTCTCTAGCCACATTTGCCTCCTTATAGAGACTGGCTCACTTGCTTCACTATGCAGCCTGAATATTGCATGACTTCCTCACCGTGCAACAAATCATGCTAAGGATTCCTATTGCTTTCCGGAACGAGTCATTTGCACACTTGTACTGCTCCCACTATTTATTTATTTGCAACCCACAAGCCCAGGGCTGAAGTCCAGCTGCAAACTCTGCCCCCAAACACACAAGATTTGGATTTTTAAAATAAAAAATCAGCTCTAGCTCTAAAGGAGTTTTGCAAGAGGAACAACTTGTAGATTCTCAGTCACTCTCTCCATTAATTCCTTAGCTGAAAGACAAGCTACACAAATGAATGAATGATTTAAAAGTTCAGGATGATGGGAGCTGGGGGCCAGCAAAATATGGAGGGCAACAGACAGAAGAAAACTACTTCATAGAAGCATGAGAGTTGGAAGACACCCTGAGGATCATCTAGTCCAACCCCTGCAAGGCAGGACTATGCAGCTGGGATTGAATCTGCAACCTTGGCGTTTGCAGGACCATGCTCTAGCCAGCTGAGCTATCCAGCCTTAAGGAGTTGCTGCAAGAGGCCTGTCTGATGTTTTGAGCACACTAGTGTGATTCTTACTGAAGAAATGGAGGCATAAGCTAAGCATGTGCGCTTCAGTGGGAGAAATCAAGTACAGTGCTACAGCTCTGTAGCAAACAGTCAAGTTTGTACACCTGGCTTGAGAGCAGTACATGTGAAAAGGATCTAGGAGTCTTGGTTGACCACAAACTTGACATGAGCCAACAGTGTGACGCGGCAGCTAAAAAAGCCAATGCAAATCTGGGCTGCATCAATAGGAGTATAGCATCTAGATCAAGTGAAGTAATAGTGCCATTGTATTCTGCTCTGGTCAGACCTCACCTGGAGTACTGTGTCCAGTTCTGGGCACCACAGTTCAAGAAGGACACTGACAAACTGGAACGTGTCCAGAGGAGGGCAACCAAAATGGTCAAAGGCCTGGAAACGATGCCTTATGAGGAACGGCTAAGGGAGCTGGGCATGTTTAGCCTGGAGAAGAGGAGGTTAAGGGGTGATATGATGGCCATGTTCAAATAGATAAAAGGATGTCACATAGAGGAGGGAGAAAGGTTGTTTTCTGCTGCTCCAGAGAAGCGGACACGGAGCAATGGATCCAAACTACAAGAAAGAAGATTCCACCTCAACATTAGGAAGAACTTCCTGACAGTAAGAGCTGTTCGACAGTGGAATTTGCTGCCAAGGAGTGTGGTGGAGTCTCCTTCTTTGGAGGTCTTTAAGCAGAGGCTTGACAACCATATGTCAGGAGGGCTCTGATGGTGTTTCCTGCTTGGCAGGGGGTTGGACTCAATGGCCCTTGTGGTCTCTTCCAACTCTATGATTCTAAGTTTGCTTCCAAGACACGTTCAGATCTCAGCCGGGAGTGACAGGTCCAGTCCTGGGCACTGAAGCTCAGACAGGTGGATAAGTCAGGCTACAGGAATGCTGCAAATCTTAAGGGGGCTCTGTTTAGATTAGACAAAAGGGGGGGAGCGCAGACCCTTTGGCGTTTGTGCTGGCTGTTCTCATCCAAATACGAGGATGGCAGTTAGAAAATGGGAGCCACTATGGCACTCCTTCTAAGAACAAAACCCCAATTAACTTATCAAATGCCAGGGAGAAAGAATGTGTGCCTTCATCAGAGACTAAAAAAAGAAAAAGTCACTGGATTCAGGTTACAGGGCACCTTTGCTGAGACAGGAGGATGGGCCACAATGAGCCAAGACCCCCTTCCCTGCCCCAGTTGTGCATCTCTTGACCTATGGAAAGAGGGGGGAAATTGCTTATCCCAGCCCACACTTGTAACTCTAAAAGGGGGCTGAACTTGTAAGATGCAGCTGCCGCAGCACGCAAGTTTCCACAAAGGAGAGCTGCCACACAGACAGCCCCGCAACACACACGCCAAACAAGAGCCTCTGAGCCAGGGGTGTCCACATCTCTTTAATAATAAGCACGCACTGCTGCCCCCCCACAGCACACGGGGAGAAGCGCCTCCACTCCCAAGGCTACCAGGCACTGGTATGGCAAGGACCCAACAAGCTGCTTCGAGCAGCCTGCCCAGGGAAGGCCAGCTCCCCACTCCCAGCCCAGCTTGGTTGGAGCAAGGAGCAGGTGTCGGCAAGAACCGTTTCATCCATGCAACCAGCAAACCCCAAACCCAGTGCAAATCCCCAGGGGGAGGGAAGGAAGGAGGCAGCCCCCACCCAGAGGAAGAGCTGCACCTTGTCACCAAAGGTTACGGAGCGCAGCGGGAGACACACACACGCACACACACAACTGCTACGGTAGTCGGGGTCCGGCAGGTAGTCCAGGCCCACCCCCCCCAAGAGACAGGGCACTGTACAAGTCCACAGAAGGCTCCTACGGAAGCACCCAACCCAGAGGGCAAGAGGGGGAGCAGACCTTTGGTCACAAAGCTGGAAGAGAGCTTGAGGGGCGCACTACGGACTGCCTAGGCAGGGAAACAAGAAACAGAGCGTGAGATCTGGCTATGGGCAGAGGGCAGTGTTGGTGCTAAGGCGGTAATTCTCCACAGTGAACTGCAGGGCGCAGAAGCCCTTCCTGCCTGTCTCCTGCTGCCGGGCGCCAGGAGGGCGGCAGCGGCGGAGTCCCGGGGGTCAGGAAAGGGCCGTCCCCGAAAAGCAGGGAGGGGAAGTCAGCCAAGCAGGGCAGGCGCCCTTCAGACAGGCAACGTAGGCGAAGAGGCGGCCAGTTCTTCGGGGTCGCCTTCCGCCTGCCCCGAACACAGGCTCTGGGCCTCGCTGCCCGGGGGAGAGCAGGGGACCCCTTTGGCCAGCAGGTGGGCCGCCTCCTCCTCGCTGTCCTCGCCAGCGGCCTCTTCCTCGTCCTGCCCACGCCCCACCTCGATCCCCGAGTCGCCCGTCAGCCGGCGGTGGCGGAAGTGCTCGCCCTCTTCGTCGGGCCCTTCGTCGCTGTCCGAGACTCGCCGGGAGTCGCCTTCGAAGAGCTCCACGCTGGAGGAGAAGAGGGCGTGCTTGGGGGGTGCGGGGCAGGGCGCCAGCTTGCCCGCCAGCTCCCAGCTGCCCCCCGGGCTGCTGCTGCCCCCGCCGGCCCCTTCGGCATCCGCCTCGCCCTCGCTGGGGGTGCTGGCCTCCGTAGCCGACAGAGAGGTGCTGCTGGGTGACGTCAGGCAGCTGGACTCACAAGAGCAGCTGGTATAGTTCTCCGAGCTGCCCGTCAGAGTCAGCGTGCTGGAGCCCAGGCGGCTGGCCGAGCCTCCCAGGATGGCACTGTAGGGGGGTGGCGGGGTGGTCGGGCGATGGGCCACCTCTTCGTAGGCAGGCAGCTTGAAGGAAGCCAGCATCCCTGCAGAAGGAGAAGGCGGGGAGGAGGGCAGAGAGACCGACTCAGCACCACCCAGGGCCGCAGAAGCAGACAGACATCTGAGAGCCGTACCAACAGGAAGGGGTCATTTTGGACTCACAGCTGTCCATGGAGATGCAGGTCATTTCTGTGTCCAGGGCAGCTGTCTACCAGCTCCATCTGGTCCGCAGGCTGAGACCTTATCTGCCCGCAGACTGTCTGGCCAGAGTGGTGCATACTCTGGTTATCTCCCAACTACTGCAATGCGCTCTCTGTGGGGCTACCTTTGAAGGTGACCCGGAAACTACAACTAATCCAGAATGCGGCAGCTAGACTGGTGACTGGGAGCGGCCGCTGAAACCACATAACACCGGTCTTGAAAGGCCTACACTGGCTCCCAGTAGGTTTCCGAGCACAATTCAAAGTGTTGGTGCTGACCCTGAAAACCCTAAACGGCCTCAAAGGCCCAGGAGACCTGAAGGAGTGTCTCCACCCCCATTGTTCTGCCCCAACACTGAGGTCCAGCTCCGAGGGACTTCTGGCAGTTCCCTCCCTGTGAGAAGCAAAACTACAGGGAACCAAGCAGAGGGCCTTCTCGGTGGTGGTGCCCGCCCTGATACTGCGTGCCTACGGGAGATCGATGGATCGTCCGGCAGACGGCTTGGGGCCATGATGGACTTTATTTCCCTGGCAGTATCCCAACAGAACACCCTCCCATCAGATGTCAAAGAGATAAACAACTACCTGACATTTAGAAGACATCTGAAGGCAGCCCTGTTCAGGGAAGTTTTTAATGTGTGACATTTTAATGTATTTTTAATCTTGGAAGCCGCCCAGAGTGGCTGGGGAAACCCAGCCATATGGGCGGGGTACAAACAATAAATTATTATTATTAAGTGGCAAAGCAAACTGCTCTGCGTGTCACAGCTTCTGGGCTCGAGGGCTGGCACTGCTGGGTTGTAGAAGACCTGGAGAGGCCCTGCCAGCAAGCGTAAATAAGGGCCACTGGCCTGTAGGCCACTGAATGTTGCTGGCCTCCAGCCCCCATCAGCCCCAGCCAGCATGGCCAATAGTCAGGGATGACGGGAGCTGTAGTTCAGTAAACGTTCTGCAGTCTAAGGGGCGTGTGCCAAGTTCTGAAACTGACAAAAAAGTTGCCGCCTTCACATCCACGGAGGGGCACCTACATGGGGCTCAACTGCTGGCTCGGAAGGTTTCCCTCAACGCTTCTCCTTAAAACAGCATCGGCTGGATATGATTTAAGGAAAAAGCATCCAGAACTAGATGTTCTGGCCTAGTTGACCCAATCTCTTCCAGTCCCCTAGTTCACAAGCCTTACCTGCTGGCTTGAAATGTCTGAGGCCCACCAGCCACAACAGGACGGGAAGGGCCAGAACCGCTTCCAAAAGGGTGGCAGGTGAGGCAGCATTTGGCACCATCAGTGGCCAATTCCTGACCCTGCTTTCTATCAATACCTAATCCATTTTGGGAGATGGCAGAATTCTTTGCCATGTGTTTTCCTGGTAGCAAGGAAGTCTACAGTTCACATTTCCTCAAGCTAAGGGCATTTTCTCTGGAGTTTTAATGACAGCCTCCACAATGTGTTGATCCAAGTGGAGAAGCTATCTCCTTGTATGTTTTTCCTTTCCCACCCCACATGCCTCACAAAGTATTTTCTGTAATTTATTCTCCGCTTCTCCTTCTGCATTCAACTTGTACCTCTGCACCTCACAAATCCCTGATAGTTTCGTTCACCCTTTGTCCTTTGATACGTATTTGGTTTTTTTGCTCCTGTAACAAGCTTCCTCTCTTATCCCATTCCTGTCTATTCCCTATTTATCCCTCTTAATATTTATTATTGTTACTGGTTCTCCTTATACCCCTTTTTCCTCAGAGAGGGGGCCTTCCTTCCCCTGAACTCCTCTGTCTCCCAACCACCTTTAATCAGCAGGCAAAAGAGTGGCCCAGAGGCCTGCCAGCTGGACCCAGAGTCTCGTTTGAGAAACAGGCTCTGGCTGAAGGACCTGAGATCTCTGGGGATATTGGCCCAAGGCGCCAATGGCCCCTGCTGCCCTTAGTTTTTGCTCCCCTCCCTCCTTCCCTCCCAGCCCCGTGGCACTGCCCCCCCCCCCCGCTGCCCCCACAGGGGCTGGGCGAGGCAGAGCCCAAGAGAAAAGGCACTCACTGAGATCCATCATGGACGGGGGATAGTTGCAGGCACCGTGGTAGGCAATGAGGTTGATCTCCCGCTGCCGCTGCTGCTGCTGGAGGCGCAGTTTGGCGCGGCGGTGCCTGTAGGCGCAGCAGCAGCTGAAGAGGATCAGGACAGTCCACAGGAGCCAGAACCCTGCCAGGGAAGGGGCAAAAAGGAGGAAGGTCAGCTATGAAGGAAACAGGCCTGCTCTGGCCCTCCTCTACTAGGTAGTTTGGGGAGAGTCAGCTGCTGCTGCTGCCTGTCAGTGTGTAGACAATTCTGAGCTAGACGGACCAAGGCTCTCTCTCTCAGGAGAAGGCAGCTGTTCAATAGCTGTTCAGAATCATGGGGACTAGAATCCTGCTTTATTTTAAGGTTACGAGCCACAGCTGCCAGTCAGCATAGAAAGCTGTTGATTTGCTGAGTTTTGATTCTTGTTTCCTCCCTGGCTCCTTTCCTGTGTGCATATTTATTTAAAAGAAAGACAGTAAGCCTGTGGGGGAAGAGGCTGCCTTGTTCGGATTGTATGTCAGCCCCTTGGGGAGCTTGTTTGCCTGAAGAGCACCTTGGGGAGGCCCACAGGGACGTCAAGGCAGAGGCGCTAAAGAAATAATACACAAGCAATACTGAGCTGCGCAACGGGTCTCACTTGGCAAAAGGCACTTTCCGAGGTTTCTGTTAAATACAGCCTTTTATATGGAATCATGAGGACTACAGTTCAGTGGCTGAGCATCTGGTTTTCCAAGCAAGAGGGCCCCATGCTCAATTCCCAGTGTCAGACCGGGACAGCCTCCCAGCCTGAAATCTTGGGAGTTGCTGCCAGTCAGTGTTGGATTTCCTGAGCTAGATGGGTCAATGGATCCGACTCAACGCAAGGCAGCTTCCCACGCTGCTGTGACACAGAGGCCTCTTCCTCCTTCCCTCCTACTCACACCAGAGCTCGTAGTAGTAGATGCAGCAGCCGGTCTCCCCGCAGCAGTGACCCGTCTCGCACACGTACGGCTGGTCGTTCACCCCAGGGCAGAACTCACGCGCCTGGACCAGAGAGAAGGGGACAAAGCTGGGAAAGGTTCAGGAAAAGGGCACCGAAAACGCCCAAGGGCAGAAGAGGCAAGAGGTGACATGACAGAACTGTATAAAATGATGCATGGGAAAGGCGGGGAAAGAAAAGTATTTCTCCCTGTCTCATCATCATCATCATAATTTATTATTTCTCCCCCGCCCATCTGGTTGGGTTTTCCCAGCCACTCTGGGCAGCTTCCAACCGAACATTAAAAACACAATACAGCATTAAACATTAAAAACTGCTTTAATATGTCTTTTAAAAGTCAGATAGTTGCTTATTTCTTTGTCATCTGATGGGAGGGTGTTCCACAGGGCAAGTGCCACCACCGAGAAGGCCCTCGGAGCTGGATCTCAGTGCCCGGGCTGAACGATGGGGATGGAGATGCTCCTTCAGGTCTACTGGACCGAGGCCGTTTAGGGCTTTCAAGGTCAGTACCAACACTTTGAATTGTGCCCGGAAACGTACTGGGAGCCAATGTAGGTCTCTCAGGACCGGTGTTATGTGGTCTCAGCGGCTTATCCCAGTCACCAGTCTGGCTGCCGCATTCTGGATTAATTGCAGTTAACACGAGAACCTTTATGCCAGTAAGTTTCTGGGCTGGTTTCAACCTGTAACGCCTTAAATGGCTCAGCACCACCAAACCCCATGGTCTGTCTCTCCCCACCTGAACTGACCTGGACTCTGCAAACATCATCTGAGCTGCTCCTTTGTGTGCCTCCTCCATGAGAGGTCTGGAGGGAGGCAACACAAGAACGGGCCTTTTCTGCGGTGGCTCCCCGCTTGTGGAATGCTCTCCCTAGGGAAGCCTACCTGGCGCCTTCGTTAGGCCCCAGTCGAAATAATTCCTCCTCTTCCAGGCCTTTGGCTAACTAAACAAAGTATGGTCTTTAAAAACAGGAGGGGGGGGTTGGTTGGTTGGTTTTTATTTGTTACTACGGTATGTATTTTTGTGCTTCTATATTGTAAACAGCCCTGTGATCTTTGGATGAATGGTGGCATAGACATTTAATTAATGAAATAATAAATAATGATAATGAAACTCCAATTGACATCCTGTGAAGCTGTCGCCACCGCCTCCCCCCCAAATTGCATGCCTCCCGTTATCCGTAGATTTGGTCCTCCTTCATGCACCACATAGCCTTTGGAACTCGCTGCCACAGGAAACAGTGATGGCCATTGACCCGGACGGCTTCAAAAGGAGGCTGGGCCAATTCTGGAAGGAGGAGAGGTCTGTCCCTGGATCCTACTAGCTGCGATGCCTCTGCTCTGTATCCCACAGCTGGAGGGAGCCAGGTTTCTGCATCCCAGCTTCTGAAAATCTCAAGAGGGCGCTGCTCCCAGATTCCCCGGAAGGGGAACCTGCTGCTGCTGCTGCTCCACAGAGAGGGCTCCTTTTTAAATATTGTTTTTATCGATGTCATTTTAAATTGCGATTGATATTAATGCAGGAATTTTAGTTTTAGATTTTATGATTGATGCGGAAATTGGTTTTCCATTGGGTTGTGCCCCTTTTGATGTGCCCTATTTATTGCTTATGTCTTTGGTTATGTCGGTATAAATCCTGTCATGTCGTGAGCCGCCTCGAGAACTGTTTTAACATGGAAAGGCGGCAGACAAAGAAAAGGAGGAAGATGGTCGTTACGGAAATTACGGGGGGGGCGCTGAAGATGATGAGGAAGACGAGGAGGAGGACGAGGAGGAGGACGAGGAGGAAGACGAGGAGGACCCCCTTGGCCGCCCTTGGGAAGAGGCTGCTCCGCCCGCTGCCCCCGCGCCCGCCTGCAGATCCCTCCCGGTGGAGCCTCCCGGGCCAGAGGCACTCTACCTGGCCCGGCCTGGGCGCTCCCCCCGCGGCCCCCTACCTGCCGCTCCCGGCCGAGCAAGGCGGCCCAGCCGGCCTGGGCTTCCCTCCCGGGCGGAGGCCTCCTCCGCTCCATGACGCCTCAGCCGCCTACAGCCTTCGCGGGCGCCCAGACGCCGCCCCGGCCGCCTCGGCCTCCTGGGGCCCGGCCGCCGCCGCCGCCTCCGCCCGCTGCCCCGCGGCGCCTCCGGCCCTCATCGCCGCCGCCCAGGCCGCCCGGGCTCCGGCTCCGCCGCCTCAGCCCAGGCCGCCGGCCCCGCCGCCGACGCCGCCATCACTCGGGGCCGCGGCTCCCGCCCCGCCGCGCCCGGCCCTCCAATCGGCGCCTTCCGCGGGGCGGCCGGCCAACCGGCGCCCGCGCCTCCGTCCGGCGGGGACCAATCGGCGGCCGGCTTCTCCCATAACAACAGCAGACAAAGAGGCCAGGGGCCCGCCCTCCGCGGCGGCGGAAGGGGCCTCCAGCCAACGAGCGGAGACCGCCTTCGTAACTGGCAGCGGCGCTGGCCAAAGGCGGCGCGAGGGGCCGGCCGAAGCTCCGATGGACAGCAGGGCCGTCCAAGGGGCGGCGGAGCTTTGCGGAAACAACCCCTCGCCGGGCCCTCCCACGGGGCGCTCTCGGCCAATGCGAAGCGGAGGGGGAGGCGCGTGTTGCGGGAGCCGGCCAATGGGAAGCGGCGACTCTCGCCTCCTCGGGGGAGCGCGAGAAGCTACGAAAGGAGCGTTTCAGCGCCTGCGCAGAAGGGGGGGGTGAGCTGTTCTCTCGTCTGGGGGAGAAGTCGCGCGAGAGGATGCGCTGGGCCTGGAGCCGGAAGTGGAGCCTCCCTCGAGTAGAAGGAATGGTCGCGGGGAGGTGCGCTTGAGGCCGGCGGCTGAGAGGGAGCCGGAGCCGGAGCCGGGCGGAGTAGGGGGCAGGCGGGCGGAGGGGCGGCCAGGGAGCCGGGAAGCGGGCTCGGCTGTCGTGGAGCTTCCTGTGGAGGCTGAAGGGGGAACTGGGCCTTCCGGGCCTCGAAGGAGGAAGAGAAGCGGGCGAGGCCTGTCAGTCAGCCGCTCCTGGGTTCCGCCCTGGAGAAGGAGCAGAGCAGGCCTGATGATGAGAATTATGAATATTATTATGATTAATATTAATTAACAAGCAATAATAAAAACAAGTTGAATGAATACAACGTAAAAACAAGATTAAAATACAACATTAAAATATTAAAATGCAGCCTCATCGCAGGAGGAGAAAGGAAAAAGAGGGGGAGGGAATCAAATTGGCTCCAAGCCAAAGGCCAGGCAGAACAACTCTGTCTTACAGGCCCTGCGGAAAGAAGTCAGATCCTGCAGGGCCCTGGTCTCAAGAGACAGCGCGTTCCACCAGGTAGGGGCCAGTGTTGAAAAGGCCCTGCCTCTGGTTGAGGCTAATTAACTTCCTTAGGGCCCAGGACCTCAAGGTTGCTATATATGTTCCTTGAGGCTCTCCGTGGGGCAGACTGGGAGAGGTGGTCCCATAGGTACAAGGGTCCTAGGCCGTGAATCTAGCTGGGTTTCCCCAGCCACTCTGGGCAGCTTCCAGCAAAATATTAAAATACAATAATTCATCAGATATTAAAAGCTTCCCGGCTCCCTGGGAGAAAAGGCAAGTGGTGACATGACAGCTGTATAAAACGATGCATGGAGAAGGCGGAGAGAGAAAAGTATTTCTCCCTGTCTCATCATCATCATAATTTATTATTTCTACGCCGCCCATCTGGCTGGGTTTCTCCAGCCACTCTGGGCTGCTTCCAACCAAATATTAAAAACACAATACAGCATTAAACATTAAAAACTGCTTTCAGATGTCTTCTAAAAAAGTCAGTTTATTTCTTTGACATCTGGTGGGAGGGTGTTCCACAGGGCGGGTGCCACCACTGAGAAGGCCCTCTGCCTGGTTTCCTTCCGCCGGCCCATGTCAGGGGTCTGAGCAGGACCGGATTGAGGTTTGATGAGGCCCTCAGCTACTGAAGGTAATGGGGCCCTTGATATATCCAGCTGTCCTTTGTCAACAACAAATTGTCGCTGTTTTTTGTGTTGAATAGATGCTCTATGGTCATTGATGGACCTAATAGGTATCTAAAGCCATTTGCACATAACAAAATATGTATTTTATCAAAGTAATTGTTGAGCTGTAATACAATTACGTATATTAATAGTGAAATACAATTATTATTTTTTTGGGGCCCCCCAAGAGAGTGGGGCCCTAAGCTATAGCTTGTTTAGCTTATACGTAAATCCAGCACTGGGTCTGAGCACCGCAAGGGTAGTGGGAGGGGGGCTGAGCTGCTCCTGTGCCCAAAACAGCCCGGGGCTCCATTGCAGCAGCGTGGCATCTCCAGAGAACTGCCCCAAAAGAGGGCAGAGCATGTTTCCTCCTTTGCAGAGGCTGCCAGTCATGTCAAAGGAAATAATTGAAGTTGATGATACAGGAAGTCTGCATCGTTTTAAATTCTTTGCCTCCTACCCAGGACCTCCTCGTCCTCACTTGGGATGCGACACCTCAAGCAGGTCAGAAAGCGCCTCAGCAGGAATACAGCTGGCAAGGAGGCAGCCTGTGCGGTTTGGAAGCGTTTTCCTTGTGGATCTTCAAAGCATATCTGCAGAAATTGCCCTGCCAACTTAGACAGTGACAACAAACAGTGTCAGCAATCCAAGAAACAAAAGCAGTGGGCTCATTTTGTTTGGCCTTCAAGCGCCACTCAGGGTGACATCATTCTGTGTAATTCCTGTGACTGCCAAAGCAGTTTCAAATTCAGCTTTTCTTGGCAAAGAGCATGGGTCACCATGCCACGGAAGTGTAAACATGGCCTTGGGTTTATCAAGAACATTTTGTATAGGCCACCTTTTGAAGCATAGCTTGGTCATTACACAGCGGAAAATACAATGCAAAAACAATAACATCAGTATTAACAATCACTGTAATACTGGTCTGCCTTACAAGGGCTATCACAAGGATTACTGAAATGTGTGTGCTTTGAAGCCTTGAGGTATATGTTAAGGATAGACAACAATAAAGAGTAGTGTGTCTTGAAAACTGAAAGACAGAATCATTTATTTTGCAAACACAAAATTAAACGTATTAAGAATTTCTATTAAAATGTGATATTACCCAATTCATGAGACATGGTTATTAGTTCATGCTGCCGGGCAGACTGGTTAGTTTATTGTGGTTTAAGGAGTGCATTTTAAAGTATTATCTACTTCAGTCTCTCACAGTGGTGCTTAAAATCTAAGCAAATTTTGGAGTGGGGTCATTGAGGGACACTAAAGTCTTAGACTGTGCAAACTGCACACTCAAGGTGGGTGTCTCTGCCATCAGTTGTGTAGGTCTGTAATGTGTGTTAGTTGTTGTGCTAGAAAAATACAGGTGAGCCCATCCCAAGACTGGTAGTTTGAAATTTGGTTGGCTTCTAACACAGTGGCTCCCACACCTCTTTCCATTTTGTCCCGCTGCTGCTGCTATTATTATTATTGTTGTTGTTGTTATTATTATTATTATTAAATGTACACACAGTCCTTTGGAATATAAGAACCTTGCAGCTGGATCAGGCCAAGGGCTTGTTGAGAACAGTATTTTCTTCTCACAGTAGCCAACCAGATTCCTGAGAGACACGGATTTCACTGCTTCTTCCCAGATTTGCTGCCTGGACCTCCGTGCTTGGCTCTAAATAGACTACAGTTAGTTACATGACCTAACATGGGAAGGGGAGGCAAGAGACATGGCATCCCTGCAGCAGTCCATTCTAAAATGGTTTGTGAAAACCACACCAGTGTCTCCCCCCCCCCCACACACCTGGTCTGGCCACCCCCATCACTAGCACCTCTAGAGCTCACTGTCAAAGGGAGGGATGAAAAAACAAGCAAATGATGAGACCAGCCTTATGCACTTCTGGGTATCTTTTATCTTTGCTGTGTCTTTTATTACAATAAATAAATAAATCACCAGTGGAACCATGTTTCTCTGTAGGGCAAAGTAGATCTGGGCAAGGAACCCAAGCACCTGGTTCCTTCCTGTCTTACACAGGTGTGAAAAGAAAGGAGAGGCCCCATTTTACAACTGGGAAGGGTTTTTTCTCCTTCCCCAAAGATCCAGGGCAAGACTACTGAGGTTGCCTCCTGCCCATGTCAACTTCCTGTGCCACCACAGTAGCTGCAGCAGGAGTGATGCTATGTCTTCTCTGTCAAGAGCAGCTGCCAGGAGTGCAGTCTCCGCTGGCTCCCACATGAGAGAGGCACTTGTCTCTTGGTGCCACAGGGCCAGTTGCCTTGCCACCCTTGGTCACTTTGCCAGTCCAGTCAGCAAAGGCCGCGGGACCCATGTCTGACCACTACAGAGAGACAAGCATGGTCAGGACCATCAAAACAGCCTGCCCAAGGCCATCCCCATATCGGGGCTGAGGATGAAGGTCTTCCACATCCTCCTTTAGATCACAGAGGTGGCATTCCTAGAGGCGTTCCAGGCGCACAAGGTGGTCCTCCTCTGGCAAGGATGGTGGTGCTTAGGCTGCCACCTGCTGGAGCAGCAAGTTCTTCTTGTAGCAGGCCAGGCTGCAGAGAGGCACCCCGGTGAGGGAGCAGGAGTACCGCTTGAGGTTGGGACACCCCCCGACTCCGCAGGGAGTGGGCAGAGGCACGGCAGGCGGCAGGGAGGGCAGCAGAGGTGCGGAGACCCCTAGAGGGAAGGAGACCGTGATCCCGTCGGCAGCGTTGCGGTAGGAGACCATCGGGGCGGCCGCCGCTTTGGCCTTGCGCTCCCGCAGAGTCTTCACCTTGGCCTTGCTGGTCTTGGTGAGGCGCTCGATGGTTTGGTTCTTGTTCTCCTCCGCCTTCTTGGCTGCCTGGAGGCGCCGCTTGCGAGCGCGCTCCTCTCGCTTCACCAGCATCTCCTCCGTCAGCTCCTTGGCCTTGTAGCCCATTGGAAGCTCCAGCAGCGGCTGGCTCTGTTGCTTGTGTAGGAGGGCTTTCTGGAGGGCAGGGAAAGAAAGAAAGAGAAAAAAAGAGAATGTGCAGGACCAATGAAGAGGCTGGCAGCCAGCAAGGCCCAGCGGCAACTATCGGGTGTCACTAAGATACAACTCTGACGGTAGATTTTATTGCATCAATGGATGAGGCTGAATCCTGACAGGACAGAAGTACTGTTTTTGGGGGACAGGGGGCGGGCTGGTGTGGAGGACTCCCTGGTCCTGAATGGGGTAACTGTGCCCCAGAAGGACCAGGTGCGCAGCCTGGGAGTCATTTTGGACTCACAGCTGTCCATGGAGGCGCAGGTCAATTCTGTGTCCAGGGCAGCTGTCTACCAGCTCCATCTGGTACGCAGGATGAGATCCTCCCTGCCCACAGAGTGTCTCTCCAGAGTGGTGCATGCTCTAGTTATCTCCCGCTTGGACTACTGCAATTCGCTCTCTGTGACCTGGGAACTACAGCTAATCCAGAATGCGGCAGCTAGACTGGTGACTGGGAGCGGCTGCCAGGACCGCATAACACCGGTTCTGAGAGATCTGCATTGGCTCCCAGTATGTTTCCAAGCACACTTCAAAGTGTTGGTGTTGACCTTTAAAGCCCTAAACAGCCTTGGTCCTGTATCACTGAAAGAGCGTCTCCACCCCCATCGTTCAGCTTGGACACTGAGGTCCAGCACCAAGGGCCTTCTGGCGGTTCGCTCACTACGAGAAGCAAAGCTACAGAGAACAAGGACAGAGGGCCTTCTCGGTAGTGGTGCCCGTCCTGTGGAACGCCCTCCCATCAGATGTCAAAGAGATAAACAACTACCTGACATTCAGAAGACTTCAAGGAAGTTTTTTATGTGTGATATTTTAATGTATTTTTCATCTTTGTTGGAAGCCACCCGGAGTGGCTGGGGAAACCCAGCCAGATGGGCGGGGTTGAAATAATAAATTATTATTATTATTATTATTATTATTATGATGATGATGACAAAACATAGAGCATGCTGGATCAGGCCAGTGGGGACCCATCTTCTCCCTCATCATCATTATTATGGCTGAAGGGTTTCTTGTGGGACAACAACAAGCAGGACCCGAGGCCCAGAGCATCTCTCCCCTCCTGTGGTTTCTGGCAGCCAGGAATCAGAAGTCTTCCTGCCTCCCACCATAGCTGCCGTGAGAACAGGATGCTGGACTAGATCTGGCCTGACCCTGCAGGCTTCTCTTAGGTGCTTATGGGACACTAGTGCTGGGATGGGGTTGCCTGTAAGGAGGGAGAGCAAGAACAAATCCCTGCTCCCACCCCCTGCAGAAGCATCAGCCCCTGACAGACTGAAACTAGAAGCCCCATCTCCCACACAGGCAGGGAGCCACAGTGGAAGCAAACCTGTTTTGGAGGCTGAACACTCTCACTCCTAAAGGAAATACCGTAACAACTCTCACTTTCAAGACAGGTCAAGGTCATGCATACTGCCGTTTGGTCTGGCCCTGTTTTCCTTCTGGATCAAGTATTCCATCAGTTTAAGCTGCCCCAGAGTCCTTCGGGGCCTCTCAGGCACCACGTGACACATTCACTCTGGGAACAGAGCACCAAAGGCTTCCTCCGCTTCCCCAGCCCCGTCTGTGCTCCCCAGCGAGGGCTGCCGTAACAGCTTCCTCCTCCTTACCTGCCTGGCTGTGAGCAGGGATTCGTCCACCTCCTTCTTGAGCTCCCCGTTGTCATCCAGCTCCCCGCGCTCCAGGGCATCCAGCCAGCGCTGCTCCTCAGTATCGAGTTCCGGAAGGGGAGACGGCTCCAGATTACTGTCCTCATCTGCGTTTGTGCGCAAGAAAAGGTTGCCTTAACTTTGAGTTGCAACATTGGAGAACTGGGGGGGGGGGGGCATCTTATATCACTGCTCCACCTGCACCTCCCGTATCTACTGCCAGGGCTGCGAGGGACATCAGTAGCAGCCGCCAAGGAAGGACAGCCCGGCCTTTGTGGGACTGACAGCCAGCTGCTTCAACAGCCAGGGGATTCAGCTGCAGAATGATATTTGCTGCAACACCAGAGAACAATGGGATGGGAGATTTTTATGCACCTTTGCCCCGTTTTAGTGGCTATTGTGTCACTGCCTGTTTTCTTTTGTTATAAAAGTTTAAGCCACCTTGGGAAATTTGGTTAGTAGCAAGGGTAATAATAATAATAATAATAATAATTAATTTATATCCCACCCTTCCCAGCCAAAGCCAGGCTCAGAGTGGCTAACAACTAGTAAAAATAGCACAGTGTACATAAAATCACACAGTAAATTAATTAAAATACATTCTAAAATCAATTCAGAATCAAATTAATGGCAACCATTGGGCTAGAGTTCTATGAGGATTACAGAAGGAGAGAGGGGGTCAGACTGTGCCCTGGCCAAAGGCCTGGTGGAATGGCTCTGCCTTGCAGGCCCTGTGGAAAGATGTCAAGTCCTGCAGGGCCCTAGTCTCTTGGGACAGAGCGTTCCACCAGATCGGGGCCACAGCCGAAAAAGCCCTGGCTCTGGTTGAGGCCAGCCTAACCTCCCTGTGGCCCAGGACCACCAAGATGTTTTTGTTTGAAGACCTTTAGGTCTTCTGTGGGACATACCAGGAGAGGCGGTCCCGTAGGTACAAGGGTCCCAGGCCATATACGGCTTTAAAGGATAGAACCAGCACCTTAAGCCTGATCCTGTACTCCACCGGGAGCCAGTGCAGCTGGTATAGCACTGGGTGAATGTGATCTCGCAGCGAAGACCCCATAAGGAGTTGCACCGCGGCATTCTGCACCCGCTGGAGATTCTGGGTCAGTCTCAAGGGCAGCCCCACGTACAGTGAGTAACTACTCCTAAAGAATGAAGCTACTGTGAATGAGAGTAGAACATGTTCTGCAGTCTTATAGGCAATCACAAGATGACGTTTCAGTTCATTTTGGAAGCAAGTGACGAACACCATAAAGTAACAGAAGGAAACTTACCCTGAGTGAGTGGGCAATTGCCTTGCTGTTTTGCAAGTTTAAAGTGGTTTCATACTCTAACTGTGTTTATGGCTGTGACCAATCTGTCGTAATCAGGCAGCTAATCTTCCTGTCCTCTTTTGGGGACCTTATTGCACCACAGCCTTGTCACCTTACTAGATAAGTGGCCCTACAGCTGCACGAGCTAATACAGAGAAAGAAACCACACTTCTATACACCAGCAAATCTAGAAGAACTCCAGGAGCCCCCTCCAGCTGTGGCCTCTGCTACACCAAAGGGTTTCCCCAGGAAAAGCATCACTCACCCAGCCATGCGCGATATTGTTCAATGGGCACCCCTTCCATCGGCTCATCCTCATCATCCACAACCATCAGTGGGGAGGGAGAGCGTGGCCTCTCGGGAATGACGGTGAAGGTTGGTACACTGGGAAGACAAGAGGAAGCCAATGAATTCATACCCGTAAACTGGAGGGCCCAGAGATTAGCCAAACCCAGCTCTGATGGGGGAATGGGTGGTAGGGAGGGGGTATCCAAGCAAAGCAGTTACGGATCAGAAAAACCTGGAGGGCACAACTGAGCTAAGTCCCTCCCCCCCTCTGAGGGGTTTGAGCATTTTCTAGAAGCAGTGCAAAATTCTCTCTTCTAGGCTGTGTGGCACAGGTGGTTTCAACATTGCTTGGAGTCATATGTCTTATCTGAATGGCTTAGATTTTACATATATGTTAGATATGACATCCACCGTATGCCAGTGGTTTGCCTACAACTCCAAGAAATAAATCCAAAGGTTTCAGAGGAAATTAGAATTGAGAAGGGAACCAGGCAAGGGGGCCCACTTTCCCCTCTGCTGTTTATTTCAGTCCTGGAGGTCTTGCTAAGTATGATTAGAAAGGATGAACAAGTCAAAGGTATTACAGTAGGTTCGAAACAATATAAATTAAAAGCCTTTGCTGATGATCTAGTTCTGACATTACAAGATCCAGACTCCAGTGCAGTCAAAGCACTGGAGCTGATACAAGAGTTTGATCATAGAATCATAGAGTTGGAATAGACCACAAGGGCCAACAGGTAGCAGGATTCAAATTAAACAAGAGCAAGACCAAAGTAATTGAGAAAAATCTGGATAATGAAGAAAGAAAACTATTACAAGAAAAAACGGGCCTAGATTTTGTGGAAAAAGTTAAATTCTGGAGATCCTGCTACATGCCTCTTAGTGCCCAAGATCTGTCCTCCAAGCTTGATCTTGAGCTTCAGCTGAGGCTTTGGCAGGGCGGCCAGAGGCTCCACTGGCGGCAGGCCCGCCTCCTCGCGGTGATGCCTCTTCTTGTGCTTCTTCTTATGCTTCTTGTGCTTCTTCTTGTGGGATCCATGGTTGCTGGATTCATCCTCATCTCCTGCAAAGGGGTGGGGGGCAGAGAAAGAAAGCAGAACACCACAGCAGTCAGCTCAGCAGCTTCACGGTGCAACAACCTCCCTTTTTAACCAAGCCTTTGGCTTTTAATTATCCACAGCCTTTTAGGGCGGGTGGGCTGTTGAAATGTGTTCCCCCCTCTTTCTTGGTTTTCATGTCTGCATGCATTATGATATATGTGGAAATTGTTTTCCATTTGGCTGTGTACTTTTTGATGTGTTTTATTTATTGTTTCTGATTTTTGTTACACTGGTAATTATTTAAATCCTGTCATGTTGTAAACCGCCTTGAGCATTACTTTAACTATGGAAAGGCGGCATACAAATAAGATGATGATGATGATTTTGGATAAATACAGGGTAAAGAACGGCTTCTATCCGTGGGCTGTTAGGCTCCTGAATGAAAAGATAACAGGGCAACTGACTTTCAGGTTTGGTGGATGTGCGTCAGTAAACGAGGGGAATTAAGACTCAGAGAGCTGAGTGGGGGGTGCTGGTGTAATCTCACTGTACAGTGGTTCCTTGGGTTACGTACTTAATTCGTTCTGGAGGTCCGTTCTTAACCTGAAACTGTTCTTAACCTGAAGCACCACTTTAGCTAATGGGGCCTCCTGCTGCTGCCGCGCTGCCGGATCACGATCTCTGTTCTCATCCTGAAGCAAAGTTCTTAACCTGAAGCACTATTTCTGGGATAGCGGAGTCTGTAACCTGAAGTATATGTAACCCGCAGCGTCTGTAACCCGAGGTACCACTGTATACAAGTTGTACCAGTGACAATAAAGTATTTCAATTCAGTTCATGATGATGATGCACCCTTGTTTGTTTGTCAAATCATTTTGCAAGTTGCTTTGAGTTCCCGTCGCGAAAAAGTGACTTATAATTTTAATAACGGACAACAAAGGCCTAGAACAGGCAGAGGCAAACTCTGGCTCGCCAGATGTTTTGGGACTACAATTCCCATCATCCCTGACCTCTGGTCCTGTGAGCTAGGGATGATGGGAAGTGTAGTCCCGAACAGCTGGAGGGCCGAAGTTCGCCTCTGCCTGGCCTAGGAGCTGGGAGAGAGCGGGGTTCAAATGACGCGGGCCCGCCCTACCTCGCCGGGCTGTTGTGAGGGCTCCCGGGAGGAAAGGGGACCAGGCCCAGGCCGACCCGGAGGCCTCGGGGAGCTCGCTCGGCTACTCACCCCGCGCGGCGCCTTCCATCCGGGCTCCGGCCTCCGCCCTCCGCCACGCCTGACTCATCGAGCCGGCCCGCCAAAGACGCGGCGGCTTCCCGGGGGGACGCAATTGCGGGCGGACAAGGCCGGCGCGCGCAACTGACGCACTTCCGCCCCGCAGCCGGCGCGGCCGGAGGGACGTCACACCATAGACAGACTGTCCCAGACTTAGTAAAATAGACTCGCGCAGGGTCGCTAACTTCCGGGTTCGTTTGATGCTTAAAATCATATAAACTCAAAAACCGCAGAGTGGGAAAGGGACCCAAGGGTCATCTAGTCCAACCCCGTGCCGTTATTAATTTGCTATTAATTTATTAAATTTATATACCGCATGCCCTATGCCCTTTTAAAAGATGACTCTTTTTTCATTAGTGGGACTGAAAGAAATCCTGTAACAATATTATTATTTTTTAAAATCTAGACCAAAGAGCAGAGTTGACTATAAGGACATAAAGGTCAGAAGTTGAAGATTTAAAGTGCAATAGAAAGACTTCATCAAAAAACCTGTTGAAGTCACAAGCTTGGCAGAGAAAAGAGTATATTTGTTTGTTATTGTACTGATGGAAATACTGTCTTATAAAGAAATAAATTAATAAAAATTATTTTAAAAAATAAAATATGGCTCTTTTGAGGGGAGGGGGAGGGTGTTATTGTGTTGTTGTTTTTATTTTGATTATATATATTGTGGTTTTTATATTGGTCCTTTCTGTGAACCGGCCTGAGACCTCCGGGTATAGGGCGGCATATAAATTCAATAAATAGTAATAATAATGAATCAAAGATCTCAGGGGGGTTCACAGAATAAAATACAAGATACAAGCCCAAGTAAATAATACAGACAAAATAGCAAAACAAAATAGCAAAACCACTGGAATGCATTCGTTGCTTTCGACACGGCGGCTTCTTCCTCCTTCTCTTCTTTCCACCCTTCTTAACCGGCCTGCTTCCATGCAAGGGCGCAGCGCCCCAGAAGCTCCAGCCGGCAGCCAAGTGAGTCCCTGGCGCAGGATCTGCACTCGGCGCCTCGCAGCTGACCGTCACCAGGCACCACACCCAGAGCTGGAGTGGCGGTGTAGCCTTATTAGACTTTACCGATTGGTGGGCTCTGCGTTGCTCCCGCATGGGAGGAAGGAAGTCAAATGACACCAAGGTTTGGTTCAGAGAAAGAGATCTTTATTTCTCCTCTCTAGAGCAGCAGAAAGGCACTTGCGTGGTCAGTCCACAGCAAGTCCAAAGAAATGAGAAATTTCATGCAGTATATATATCCTCCAGGCACCCTCTCCCCCCTTCCCCAGGAATCCAGCCACGTCAGCTTATACACGTAAGTTGACATCCATGACCATAAACAGATATTCCTGTTCCTGCACTCTTGACCATAAAAGGGTGTTCCTGTTCCTGTATTCCTTATCTTGGGGTAAGAAGGTCACCAACTCTAAGAGCAATCCTGGCGCTGTTCCCGGGCTGACAAGGTCTGTGCGTCAGTGTGGTCAGGATGTAAGATAAGACCCAGATGCGCCATCCCTGCTCCACTCGGAACTGACAAGGTCATCCATTGCCGTCATGGACTGATAAAGGAGAGGGCTTTGAGCACTTGTTTATACAGCTGGGTTTCTGTTTATACCTTGGCTCAAGAGTTCAGGTTAATGCATTTTAGAAATGCTCCCTTGGAGAAGGAAAAATGGGGATTTGGGGGCCCGTTTCAGGCTGACTGCACAGTCAGGTTTTGGGGTTTGGGAAACCCATTCCTTCATTGGCAGCCACGTTGCTCTGCTCCCCTGCCAGAGGCCTCCATCTCCTCCCTTCAGCTGGTCTCTCCAGCCCCAACTGGGAACAGCCGCGGGGGAGAACTGTATGGGATCCCCAGGGGCCATTTAGTCCAATGCAGGAAGCGCAACTGAAGAACCCCTAACAGGCGGCCCAGAAACCTCTGCTGAAAGAACCCCAATGAATGGGAGAGTTGGAAGGGACCCCCAGGATCATCTAGTCTGACCCCCTGCAATGCAGGAATCTCAGCTAGATCATACATGGCAGGTGGCCCCCCAGCCTGTGCTGGGAAACCTCCAAGGAAGGAGAGACCACAACCTCCCGAGAAGTTCTGGTTTTTATTTATATATTGAATTTCTATAGTGCCCTTTGTGCAAGAATCACAGGGCAGTTTACAGTAGGAAAACATAGACAGATACATAATAAACTGTAATACACAAAATCTGCCCTCATTCCCTTATGGGGGACACAAGAACCCTTGTAGAGTCCGTTGTAGGTTCTCCATCAGTAGGAGAAAAGAACAGAGGCCAACCAGAGAATATTGCGAAGCAAAGCAGCTCGTAAGCCTGATCTTTATTGATCTGTTGCAACAGGGTGCTCCCCTCACACGCAGGAAAGGAGGAGGACCCAGAACAAAGGTGTGCCTGCCCTTATATAGACATTTTAAATTCCCTGCCCTGGAGCTCCAGACCACCCCTCCATACATCATACATACATCACAGAAGGGGTGTAACCCAAGACCACCCCCCAGATACATCATACCTACATCATGGAAAAGGTGGTCTACAACAGAAATGTGAATGTTGTTTTTCCTGTCTGCCAGGTTATCTGATAATGCCTTATCTGATTGCCTTTCCTGGTAGTCTGGCCATTCCTTTGAGATGGTGATTTCCCAATTCCTCACCCCCTCCCTCCTTGCAGGGAAAACATTTGGTCAGTTTGGAAGTCAAAATGGTTTCAGGACGGTCTTCCTGTGCTGATCTATGTACGCGCTTGGTTGGTACATTTATGAACATTTATTATATATATAAGACCTTACTTTTTTTATTTCAAGGGAAAGTGGCCCTCAGGCTGACAGAGGTTTCCCACTCCTGCTTTCAGGGGGCGATGCAAGGAAAAGGCAGATTGGCCGGTGCTTCAGAAGATCCTGTTAGCAATCAGAAACACCAGCACAGACTCTTTTCCGTTGCTGCTTTGCCATCGCCCACCTGCCTGAGACTCAGGGAGGGCTTGGTCCTTGAGGGGTGTGGCATTTGACAGAGTTTCATCAAAGCAAACCTAAACCATTCCCTGTCCCCCATGAGGCAGGGAGTCCCACAGGCAGAAAATCCCCCTGTGCAGGCATCAGCTTCAAAAGAGGACAAATTCATGGAGGGCTGTCAGTGGCTCCTCGCCAGGACGCCTTGGCCTCCGCAGTCGGAATCTGCCATGCTCCTGAATCCCAGCGGCTGGAAAAGTCGGGGGGCTGTTCTTGAGCCCCAATCCTGCTATGGGGCTTCCCTTTGGCCCCCGGGGGAACAGGACTCTGGCCTGATCCAGCCCAGGGGCTCTTCTGAGTCTCCCTTTCCTGCTGGGCCCAGGCAGGAAGTCCCACTTTTCTGCCAAAGGAGCATTCTGCTGCACCAAACCGGATGAGCAAACCGGAGGCAAACCCCAAAGGCCACCAGACACCCCCGCCTGTGGAGCGAGGCCGGACTCTGGCCCAAGCCCAACACCAGCCTGGCCAGGCGGACTCCCAGCAGAAGCCCCGGAAAACAGAGAAGCACAGTGTGGTGTAGTGGTTAAGAGCGGTAGTCTCCTAATCTGGGGAACCGGGTTTGAGTCTCCGCTCCTCCACCTGCAGCTGCTGGGTGACCTTGGGCCAGTCACACTTCCTTGAAGTCTCTCAGCCCCACTCACCTCACAGAGTGTTTGTTGTGGGGCAGGAAGGAAAAGGAGAATGTTAGCCGCTTTGAGACTCCTGAAGGGGAGTGAAAGGTGGGATATCAAATCCAAACTCTTCTTCTTCTTCTTCACGGAAACCCCACAATGCACACCTGTCTCCCAGGACATTTCCGGGCACAATTCAAAGTGTTGGTGCTGACCTTGAAAGCCCTAAACGGCCTCAGTCCTGTATCCCTGAAGGAGCATCTCCACCCCCATCGTTCTGCCCGGACACTGAGGTCCAGCTCCGAGGGCTTTTCGGGTGGTTCCCTCCCTGCAAGAATTGAGGTTACAGGGAACCAGGCACAGGGTCTTCTCGGTGGTGGCGCCCGCCCTGTGGAACGCCCTCCCATCAGATGTCAAGGCAATAAGCAACTATTTTACTTTAAAAAGACATCTGAAAAGACATAATGACTGATGTTTTAATGTATTTTTAATCTTTTGTTAGAAGCCACCCAGAGTGGCTGGGGAAACCCAGCCAGATGGGCGGGGTATAAATACCCCCCTCCCACCAGCACTGGGAAGCTCCTGCCCCCCAGGACTGACACAGCCCCACAGCCCCAGGAGGCTCCTTGGAAAGGGGCCCAGGAAGCAGCAGGTGGTCTCAGAGCGGCAACCTCAAAACTTGGCAGCATCTCACTCTTGCCACCCAAATGCGACACGGCAACCATCAGGATGGTCCCAGGCCAGGATCCCTTCCAATGATGCAAGAGGATGCTGTGGATGCGCCCCGCTCACCCACGTCTTGGCCTGATCCTGCATCCTCTACAAAGGAGTAAACGTGGCGGAGCTGCTTGTGGAACGAGAAAATGTTTCAGACTGGCTCTGACTGCAGATGTTGCAGATGTTGTCCCCGAGGGGGAGGCATTCTTCCAGAATCTGCTTCTTAATCCAGAGCCCCTGGAAGGAACCCAAAGGGCAATGAAGACCACCCCACACGAGCCCCCTGCCCCAGAACATAAGAATCATAGAACTGTATTGTTTTTATATTTATTTATATCCCACCTCCCCCCCCCCCAGTCTGGGACGCAAGGCAGCTTACACAGATAAAATAAAACAAGCCAAAAATATTTAAAAGATCATCATTAACGTGTGAAGAAACACTAACAGAATTAAAATAATATAATAAGACCAGCCCTTTCCTCAAAATGAGTTGGAATGGAAAGGTCTTCACCGGCCGGCAGAAGGACAGCAAGGAGGGAGCCAATCTGAAATCTCTCGGCAGGGAGATCCAAAGTTGCCTGCGAGAAGCCACCACCAAGAAGGCCCTGTCCCATGTCCTGTGAGGGTGGTGGGATTTCAGAGGCTGAGCAGGTTCCTATAAGGACAGATGGTCTTTCAGATAGCCTGGACCCCAGGCTTAAGGATTGTCGATTTGGGTGGGACCCAAAGATTCATCT